TTTGGCAGAAATTTTAAGAAACTAGAATCTTTCTATATGCAAGTGTAAGTTACTTTAAAGCCTACTTCTGTTTTTATTTCATCAATGCCTTTTGTAAAAGCTTAAGCTGTTATTTAGTACTACTTTATTTTTCATTTTCTCTCCACTCCTTGCCAAAGTATAGATGTTATATTCTTTGTTACACAAAATATAGATGAAAAATCATAAAGGAGGGAGCAATAGCCACTATTTTCTTTAAATCAATAACATGGTGACTCTGATCCTTTTGCAGTAACTGTTGAAACACAGGATAACAGTCATCTGTTCTAAGAACTCAGCTCAGAGCCCTGGCTGCCCTGCGAAGTCTTCGTCACCATCCATCCCCTGGAATTCAGTCCTTTTTGTCAACGCCGGAGCATTTCTTTTACTTTATATCTGTGCTGTCTCGTGTGGTAGCCACAGTCACATGTGGCTGTTTGTATTTAAATTAGAATTGAAGAAAATTAAAAATTCAGGTCCTCAGTCACATTAGCCACATTTCAGGTGTTCAACAGCTAGATGAGGCTAGTGGCTACCATACTGGAAAGTGCATATATAGAACATTTCCATCACTGCATCAAGTTCTAGTAGACAGTGCTGCTCTATGCTAGGGAGCAGTAAACTTGTTCTCTGAAGGGCCAGACAATAAATATGAGAGATTTCGTCGGGCACATGTGGTTGCATACTTTTTTTTTGTGTGTGCATACTCTTATTTTTTAAACAATGCTTTACAAGTGTAAAAACCATTCTCAGCTCAAGAGCCATACAAAAATAGGCTGCAGGCTATAGCTTGCCAACTCCTGCACTGAGCAAGCCCAGATTCTAGCCTTTTCCTGTTCAGCTTTTTGTGTGATACAGTCTAATTTTTTTATCCTGCAGAGCACCTGCCATTGTCTGAACATCAGGAAATATTTGTGAATTGATTGTCAACACTGTTGGAAGTTATTTAGGTGATGTCACAGGCTAGTTTCTAGTTTCTTTTATTCTAAGATACCCATGAAATTACAAAGATTGCTATTTATACACTTCCCTAGGAGTTGTCCCATCTTCCTTTCTTTGGGGTATGCTTAGCTCATTCATTCTGCAATTGACTGTTGAACCCCTCTGCTGTCAGGTTCTGAGCCCCGTGCTAGAAAGAAGGAACCACATGGGTCGCCACCCAGTTTTAGCTAGTTCTGCTGTAAAGCTGTGTTATGCTGAGAGGCACCTCTCAGTGTTGGGAGTTCTTGGGATAAAAACGTGCATTCTTTACACATATTGGTAAGCTTGTGATCTGAAATAACTGTAATTTTTTCAATGGTAGGGTTTTGGATATGATTTCAGCCATAAACAAGAGCTCCATAGTCTGGCAAGAAGTTTTTGATGATGCAAGCAAGGTGAGAAGTATTTAGACTGCATTTGGTTTTGATAATATGAGAGACTTAATACTTCCTTGGATGGAAGGAACTAATGAAGCTTCCCTGTAATGCTGGGGAAACGAGTTTACCTTTCCATTTGAGCTGTAACACTGAGACCAATGATAATGGTATTGATCTGATTTCTTCCATTTACTTCATTCTTCAGCGCCGCCTCCTCCTCGTCTCCCCCCCATCTCCCCTCCTCCCCCTCCATCTCATTTTTAATCACAAATTGAAGTACTCTGAAGATCGTTCCTTTTTTCAGAAGGGCAGAACAAACAGATAAATAAGTCTTTACTGCTGTTAAGAGAGTTTTGTTTTAAGTAAAATTGTCAATGTACACTTTTTATTTTAAATGGCATTTCTCTGACATACTCAGAATTCTTTATTTTCCTTTGGGGGCAACTGAGAATTTGCAAGACCAGATGCTAGTATTATCTTTCCAGAAGGGTTGGTGGCATCCTCAGAGTTCCAAAGTAAGTACAATAGTGTGGTAGAAATGGGATGAAAACCTTTAATTCATTACACCTATATGGTATCATATGTAGACAAAGGTTAAATATCCAACCTTAAGGTTGATGAAACTTCTAAGTCCCTACAACAAATAGCATTTGATATTAATTCTAAGGAGAAAGGGAAATGCTGCTTTTTTCAAGGATCTTAAAAGTTATTTTCTTCGCTACAATGCCTTGGACTTTTACTTTCATCTACTGTAGTTGTGAGACCTAATAATATATATTGTGATTTGTGACTTTAATAGCTCACACCAGGCACAGTAATTCAAGTGTGGAAAGTGGAGGACTATACTCGGGAACAAAGTAAAGTTACAGAAGCTGGCTTCCCTGTGATCCTTTCTGCTCCTTGGTACTTAGACTGGATCAGTTATGGACAAGACTGGAAAAAATACTATGCCGTGGACCCTCTTAGTTTTGAGGGTAAGTGAAGCAACCATCATTACTTGATAGGTTTTTTTCCCTACCCTCCCTCCAGGGAATCCTTACCTAGGTAGCATCTACCAACTATCCTCCCTTTTATGTCTGACCCTTGATTTTGTTTGTGTGTACTTAAACAGACCAACTACAATATCATTTTAAACTCTGTGAAAGAAACCACATTCTTCCCTAAATGAAAGAACTTCAAAGTAGATTCCCTTAGATTTTTCTCTCCATTTTCACTGATAAGACTTGTTATCACTATGCATTTAAAGATGCCTGACTGCATTAACCTTGTATCTCCTACTCTGAGCTGCCTCTACCAATGCAAGACACCTAAGCAGGGATCCTGTCCTGTTCAGTGGCTTCCAGGTTCTGAGGAGGAGGCATCCTTGGGGGTGGGCATGTCTGAGTGGTGGGGCTCCAGACTCTCAAACCCCCTTCATTAAGAACAGTTCTACTTTGTCCATTTTTGTACACCAGACTTTAATATAAAATTTCCTTTGAGGAATAGTATTTTGCTGTTTAAAAGAGTTTCAAAACTGTAGGTCTATTAGGAATTGACATAACTGTTTCTCTAAAAATCTCTCAAAAGCATTTTCTGAGAATCAAGAAGTCATAATTACTATAAAGTCATAATTACTATAGACAGTCTCTAATAAAATGGTATCTTTACTACCAGACTGCCACATTAGTTAACATATGCTAACAAATACTATGTGAACCGTGGGGTCAGCCGTGGCAATAAAGTTGGCCCCCTTTTTTTGTGCCACAGCCATGAACATCTCCCAAGGTCCTGCTTAACAGGAGAGAAATGTTGCCCTAAGATAACAATAGAAATCAGCATTGCCTCTCTCTATATATAGGCCTCAAGTTGCCAACTACCTAACTTTGCATCAATGATTTTAATCTAGGTTCTCAGGAACAGAAAAAACTTGTCATTGGTGGAGAAGCTTGTCTATGGGGAGAGTATGTGGATGCAACTAACCTTACTCCAAGATTATGGTATGGAATTTAAGTGATAACATTTGAATTAAGGTGTCTGAGTTTTCCTTCTGTACCCAAGTAGGACACCACTAGGAACTTCCCCAAGCATGTGGTTTGCTTATTTAAGAAAATAGAAAAGTACATTGGGGCACACGTGGTTTAAATTTTAGGCCTCGGGCAAGTGCTGTTGGTGAGAGACTCTGGAGTCACAAAGACGTCAGAGGCCTAGAGGATGCCTACAGGAGACTAACAGTTCACCGCTGCAGAATGCTCAGGTAAGACAGATTTATGTATGTCACCTAAGAGGCTGTGATTTAATTAGGAATTGGGAACTATTTCCAGTACCTATAAGGAGAAGATATGCTTGGACTTTAAACTGTTTTATAGATATATTAAATTTTGCTGTAACTTAGAACTCCATTATGAATCTCTTTTTTCAATAATTAGTGGTATGGTTTAGTGATTCTGATTTGAGCTATTAAGTTCCTTAAAAGTTCCTTAAGATGGAGATGAGTTATATCAATCTAAAAACATCTTTGTTTGTACTTTACCTGTCATACAGACGAGGAATAGCTGCAGAACCTGTCTTTACTGGATATTGTGACCACGAGGACAGAATGTAAAAATGAGCTGAAACAAAAGAAAAATAGGGGAAAATGCCCACAATCATCTGTACCACGATCAGCTTGATTTTAAAAATCATGTTTTTGAATAAAATCTTTTTATTGATTGAACCTCCATCTTATACGTTATACATAGAAGACTGACATCTTTCCTGTGAGCGCAGCTTAAAATCAGCCAACCAAAAACCTCATGATATCTATCACTCAGTATATCCCAAAAGACTGAGTCTTGACTACCGACAGTAGTAACTTCCTAGATACACAATACAATTCAGGTGCGTTAACCTTCAACATCAAAGCACGTTTCTCATTCTATAAAATAGAATGAGCAGCACCAAGTGCCACTGTCTGTTTCAAGTTCTACCTTTCCAGTTGTTCTTACGGAAAATGAAGTAGGTAGGTACTCCTGAGTTTCTCTCCAAGGACTTAGGACAAGCCACTTCTCTGGCTGAGCAGTGTGCTTTGGTCTTGAGGATTCATGGCTTGATAATCAGACAGCTCTAAGGCAAAGGTAGCTGAGCCTGATGTTAACGTTCGAAGCACAGTTGAATAACCCTAATTAAAATAATTTTAAGTCAGTTAAGCCTCAAGTCTCTTCCTGCAGAACCTTTGACCATTATCAGGAAAAATTTGGTAAGTATTGTGGATGACAGAAAACCAGTAGTGTGGGTATGCTTCAGAAGTATTCCTTGGTCCCAAATGGTAAAAAAGACTCTGCTGGCACTCAGGTGCCTGTCCTAGCAGCAGAGGCTGGTGGGGAGGAGAATGAAACTGCCTCAAAGCCGGCAACAGAAGTAAGATAAGTGCTTGGGATGGAAAAATGGTCATTTAGGCTGGTGACACATTTTGGTACAGCACACCTCAACCTCTGTAGAGGAATGGAAAGGGACACCCTGCCCCCCCCCATGCTGCCATAATCCCCTGGATTTCTCCAGCAATTTACGTAAAGTATGTAAATTTAGTCACAAAGTACCTACCATAATTTCTGCTAAGGGAACAAATCCAATAACAACTTTGTTGTCCTGACGAGTCTGGATTTCCTGAATGTTCCCTCTTCTTTGTGCTAGATCTGCTAGGACAGGACTGAGGTAATCTCTAGTCACTGTAACCTCAAGATTCATCAGGGGCTCCAAAATTTGCTTATCAGCTTTCTTCAGAGCCTAAAGAAATTAAAGAATATTAACTCCTCTTCCTTAAACTGCAGATCAAATTTCTGTTATGAAGGGAAGACTCATAAAAATTTAAATACTGTTCATAATCTTAGCCTAGAGCCTCTAGCAAAAAGACATAAGCCTGCTTTAACACTCTATAAGAAGTCCAAAATTTCAATATTTGCTTGTACATGCATGACAGTAGCATGTCTGAGACCTCTTGTATGGTGTGTTGCAAGGGAATGCTTGGCAAAATCTCATTATGTAGAGTACCTGTGAACATGTGCCCAGAGACAGAGGGAAACAAAATGGTTTTCCCCCTTCAAAGACTTACCTCTTCATATTTAAACCTCCTCTTTTGTTTTTGATACCTATAGTTATAGTCCATGCTACAAGTCAGGGCAAGCAGGAGGGAAATAGAGGAGAGAGCTAAAAACACAGTAAGTTAGTAGAAACACATTCTCTTCTATTTGAAACAGACTGAAATCTAAAATTCTGAACAGATAACAAAGGCCAAGAAGAATAAGCACATGGAAAGGAAAGAGCACGGAAACTATAAAAAGCTAAAACAGCATAGGGCAAATAGGAAGTGGACGAAAGCAGAGGTATAGACTTACTGGGGTCCTAGTCAGACGCTGTCTTTAGAGCATCATTCCATCAGGCCAATTGCTAAACGGATTTTGGAGGGCGTTTGCGAGCACCGTAACCACTGATGGGTTTGCTTTTAAAAGCTAACTCACTTACTTCTCCAGCCTGCCAGAGTTAAAAAATAACAATTTCCTATAAATTCTAAGCCTTTGTTTGGTTGTCAGGTGGGATGAGTAGTGTACTTTGGTCTTTATTACAACTTACTCAGTTGTAATAAACTTAGACTTAGACTTAGCAGCAGAAACCAGATAAAAGAGCTAGGGCTCTGGAATGTACCCCTCACCTTTATTTGGCTATGGCTGATCATCTCTCTCTGCTCACCTGCCACCACTCACTTAGGACCAGGCAGTATCTTCGCCTATATTGTCAAGTAATGCTCTTCTGTCCCCGATACCTCACCACCACCTCCCTCCCCCCGACCCCTGCCTCCTACTTTCACGATCATGAAAAATGGCCGGCAGTATATTCTCTTTATCATAGAAATTTCAAAAAACATAGCACACATATAGAGTAAAAACATAATCTCAGTTCTTCACAGCAGATTAAGCCTTTAAAATCACTATCAACCGAAACAACTCAACTATAGAAAAAGTAATAGTCCTTGAATGAAAACATTACTAAAAAACAATGACAGTCAACAGCAAACAACTAAATATATCCTCTGTATTTTTGCAATTCTTACCAAAAGCTTTGTGCCACTTCACGCAATGTCTCTTAGAACATAATGGAGTGGGAAAAGGTTAAAAATTAAAGAGAAAAAATGCTACAACTAAGGAAAGGACTGAGTTCTATGTAACTGAACAGGAAGTACTGTGCTTGTGGGTCTGTCCTTAGTCCTCTTTTCTTTTCACAGCCTTTTCCTTGGCAACATTGCCTAGTTACAGAGCATCAAGAACAGCTTCTACATAGCTTCCTCAAAAATTCTAAACTTTATCCAAGCCACAGTCTGAGTGCTCCAGCCTTGTACTCCACTGGTCTGCTCTGGGATAGTGTCTAAATATCTTATAGCAACCCAATATGCCCCAAACGGAACTCATCATTTTCTTTTCCAAACACTCCTGTCTGCTTTTTCCTCTTTCTGTTGATGGCATCACTACTCTTCAGTTCACCAGGATATGCATCTTTGATTTCCCTTTTTCCACAAGTAAGCTGTAAGATTTCCACTCCTGTTGCTGGTATCCTGGTTCAGACCTAGTCCATTCCCTGTCCTAGACTCTTTTCCCTACTCCAGTCCCTTCTGTATTCTAATGATTATACTGCTCTCTTCAAAAACTTTATTCACCACTGTTCTCAAAACAAACCTCAAACTTCTAGATGTAGTTTTTAAAGGTTTCTCTAAAGCCTGGCCCTGCCTTCTTTAATCTCCCCTTGTCTGGAATGCTGCCCACTGTGCCCAAATCTTCCAAAACATCACAGCTCAACAATTAATGAAACCATGTACAAGCCCCTGCTGTGTTTTGAAATAAAATGCTGACTCAGGAGTTAATGATTGGGAAATGTGAAGATGCAGAAACAAAGAACAGCTTTTGGGCTAGAGAACTGGTAACAATTTAGACTATAATGCTGCCACATGGCAGAATCACCGAACTCCCAGTTCCCTGAAAGATATAAAGGCCTGACACACATTCCTAAGTTGTTTGTACAGGAAGCAGACCCCTGCCAGAGGAAAACTGCTGACCACAAGCACATAGACCCTAGACTGGTTGAAACCAGAAGGCTGATTGATGATGCTTGAAACTTCACCTTGATGCCAACCAATCCCAGAATTGTCCACGAGCTGATCACCCCCTGCTCCTTGAACACTATAAAACTCCTCATAACCCCTCCAGGGTGGATCACACAGTCTTGAGGGCGTTAGCCCTCTGTGGCCCCCTTTGCCTGGCAAAGCAATAAAAGCTACTCTCTTCTACTTCACCCAAAACCCTGTCTCTGCGTTTCTGTTCGGCACCGGTGAAGAGGCTGAGTTTCGGCAACATAAACTTCTTTCCAAGAACCCTGCCCCAATTCCCCATGTCTCAGCTTTCATGGATCTCAGTCCATTCTATCTAATATTCTGGCTATTTGGCTATTTATTTCCCTTCTAAATCATAAGCTCCTTTAGGTCAAGAAAAATGTATGCATCCCATCTGTGCCCCCCCTCTCAGTGCCTGGTGCACTATAAGCACACCACCAGTGGCTCAATAAATATATGAAGCGTCATTAACTTCTCATAGAGAGAAGGAGCTTCCCCACTAGATGAAGTTTAACAAGGGCCACAGTATTTCATTAGTAGTATTTAAAGTAATGAATTAAAACAAAAGATTAAGTGTAAGCCCCATAAAGTTAATTCTTGTTCTCTACTATGATCTTAATAAAAAGGCTAACCAAGGCATATTAGATTTTGAAGGACTGGCCCATATACTGGGGCTTGGGGTTAATTTAGAAACGTATCATCTTTCAGGTTACCATTATTTCAAAACTAAAACCAATGTCGGGAAAAACTAAGAATTACTGGAAGGTAAATGTTCTCAACAATTTAATCATGACCACTTTACAGGTAATATATCTAACTATATGCTTAGGCAAACAATATTTAAACAATTTTATTTTTGAAAGTGTAGTGTTTTTTCTTTTAATCAAAAACTTTTTTTTGTTTTCAAAAACTTTTTAAGAGGTATGAATTTGAACTTACATGAAGGAGCCATTAAAGTTCAGCCTTCCTAAGTCAGGGGCTTAGGGTATTTAACTTTATAATTATGGATTCAAATAAGACTATAGAAAATCAGGTCTCAACCACAGTCCAAAACATTAGAAAATGATTATAAAAGGCAAGCGTTTTAATGCAAAATCAGTCACCAACAAAACTATAGTATTCCCATACTGAGAAGAATGCATGGAATCAGCATTCAGCACACTAAGGCCCTGGGGGTTAATCCAGCTCTGGTAGATTACTGGGGCAAGGCACTCAAGGACATACCCCCAGGTAAACACACAAGACCAGACTGCTTTATGCTCTGAGAAGGAAAAATGCTTATTTGATCTGTTATTCAACAGGACTTATCTGATTTCAATGATCCTTGATTAATCTTACTAGAACAAACATGAACTCCAACATTGGAACCAATATTAGACCTTCAATGTCCTTTAGATTATAATCCATTTTGGGCCAAGCTGACCCCAGATACGTCTTTTACTCAAATCTACCAAGCTTGCCTCTTATGGCTGCATCTGGGATGGGGAAAGCAGAGACACCACTTAAAAAAACTTGCCTCTTTGCCAAAATCGGAGGATATTTAATAACTATCTGTGTCAAACAGTAATTTCTTAGATCCTCTTTTGAATAAAACCCTGATGATTAAGAAATCAAAGATTCTCCATGGTAAAAACTCTTGACTATAAGGCTCAGGATACAAAGACACACGGTCAGGCACTGCGAGCACAGCTGTCTGTGGACTAGTGGTTCACTACTGTCCAGAGAGTCACCTTAAAGCAAAAAGGATTAGGACACTTCTATACCTTTTGTAGGCATCTTGAGACACAGGCAGAAATCATAGCTGTGGAGGTACCGGGATGAATTACCAATGAATGTAAAGTAATTGCTACATCTTGAATTGGGGATCCAAGCAATGGTCCTAGGTAAGGGGGAAAAGATTTTATTAGGACTCAGTATTACAGTGAGGGGTAAATGAAATGTGTAAAGAGATAGGCAGAGAACTTCTAGTTTCCAGTTCTGGTAAAGGAGCTTTGAAGTCATCACTTTGTTGTAAATAATAAGTAAAAAGCAACAATTCTTATTGAATTGGTAAGAGATGGGAGGACAAAGGGCAAACCACTGTCCCCAAGACTGGAGAGACAGGTGAGTGCGGGCAGTCACACCTGATCTGTAATTGATGAACTGCTTGAGGCTCATTGTAGCCAAGTCAGAGTTAAAAACTCCAGGGGGGCCCAGTCTTGGGGATGGAGAGGGGCATAATTTTGTGAGCTCAGGCAGGTTCTCACAGTAAATATCAGAGATTCAGGGGGAGGGGAAAAGAATCCATTCTGAAATACTCCAAGGCACTCTATTCTTAACAAGGCCTGCCCACAGGGGAAACTAGTTAATTAGAGCAAAACCTGCAGGGATATTATCAGAGACTAACTGACTTGAGGGAAGTACCCAATTCCAGTCTACTCTAGCCATCCTGTCCCACCTAAGGGGGGTGAAAAAAACTGAGAAACACTTGTGCAGCTCCGAGTCCAAAGGCACAGGCTGACTAGAAGACTGAGACCTAATCCTGGGACTACAGATGCTTCCCCTCCCCTTTACCTCACCACCACATTACTAAAGGCCGGTTTATAGCAGTCCCTTACCCAGTACATCACTTCTGGCTATCAAGAAAAAATTATGGGATGAACTGGGAGATTGGGATTGATATATATGCACTAATATGTATAAAATAGATAACTAATAAGAACCTGCTATATAAAAAATAAATAAAAGAAAAACTTATAAGGCATATTGAAAGGCAAAAAGCACAATTTGAATTTGAATACAGAAAGCAAGCATCAGAACCAGATGTGGCAGGGACATTGAATGATCAGACTGAGAATATAAACAACTATGACTAATATGCTAAGGGCTTAAATAGGTAAAGTAAAGGGCATGCAAGAACAGATGGGCATGACAGCAGAGAGACAGAAGTCCTAAGAAAGAACCAGAAAGAAATGCTTCAGATGAAAAACACTGTAACAGAAAGGAAGAAGCCCACTGATGGTCTTAGATGGGACACAGCTGAGTTAGAAAATATATCAGTAGAAACCTCCAAAACTGAAAAGCAAAGTGAACAAAAGACTGAAAAAAACAAAACAATATCCAAGGCTGTGGGGCAACTATAAAGGTATGACATATGCGTGATGGGAAGAGATAGGGAGAAAACACCATCAAAGTTAGAAGAGAAGAATGAAACAATTTCTAATATCAGGAGGGATTAAATCGTTGAGTGATATTAATGCATACTCTGACTGGAGTACCTTACCTTGGAGGCACGCACTGTGAAGGCCATTTTCAATGGCCTCTCGCGAGGCCTGAGAAAGGTCTTCGGCAACACTTGCTGCATACTCGATGACTGGCAGAAGAGATGATGTTTCCAGTGATTTTGCTTCCAGTTCTACAGTCACAAGATGCCGTCTGTCTCCTAAAGTTCTATCTAAGGTATCTGTAAACAAATCGAATACAGTACCTCAGAGATTTGTTCCAGAAAGATGTCAAGGTACCACAACTGGCAAAATTACAGTCAGCAAGTTCAAGGTCTCATGGAAGGTAAAGCGGACGAAAATATCAACAATGACACTAAATACAGTATAAAAATGTCAGAGTAAACAGTTCTACCAAGAAAGCATCTGCTGGGACTTTCCTGGTTGTCCAGTGGTTAAGAATCCACCTTCTAGTGCAGGGGATGCGTGTTCGATCCTTGGTCGGGGAACTAAGATCCCACATGTGTTGGGGCAACTAAACCCAAGCCCATGTGCTGCAACTACAGAGCCCACACACTCTGGAGCCCGCATGCCACAACAAAATATCCTGGCGTGCCGCAACTAAGACCAGACGCAGCAAAAAATAATTAAAAAAAAAAAAAAAGCATCTGCTTCTGTGTTTACCAACATTAAAAACCTGCTCTGGGGCTTCCCTGGTGGCACAGTGGTTGAGAGTCTGCCTGCCGATGCAGGAGACATGGATTCGTGTCCCGGTCCGGGAGGATCCCACATGCCCCGGAGCGGCTGGGCCCATGAGCCATGGTCGCTGGGCCTGCGCGTCCGGAGCCTGTGCTCCACAACGGGAGAGGCCACAACAGTAAGAGGCCCGTGTACGGCCAAAAAAAAAACCTGCTCTGAATCACCTATTAATATTGCTTTAGGACTTCCCTGGTGGTGCAGTGGTTAAAAATCCGCCTGCCCACATATATACAATGGAATATTACTCAGCCATAAAAAGAAACGAAATTGAGTTATTTGTAGTGAGGTGGATGGACCTAGAGACTGTCATACAGAGTGAAGTAAGTCAGAAAGAGAAAAACAAATACCGTATGCTAACACATATATATGGAATCTAAAAAAAATAAAATAAAATGGTTCTGAAGAACCTAGGGGCAGGAGAGGAATAAAGACGCAGACATAGAGAATGGACTTGAGGACATGGGGAGGGGGAAGGGTAAGGTGGGACGAAGGGAGACAGTAGCACTGACATATATGCACTACCAAATGTAAAACAGATAGCTAGTGGGAAGCAGCCGCATAGCACAGGGAGATTAGCTCAGTGCTTTGTGACCACCTAGAGGGATGGGATAGGGAGAGTGGGAGGGAGATGCAAGGGGGAGGAGATATGGGGATATATGTATATGTATAGCTGATTCACTTTGTTTTAAAGCAGAAACTAACATGCCATTGTAAAGCAATTATACTCCAATAAAGATGTTAAAAAAAAAAAGAATCCACCTGCCAACACAGGGGACACGGTTCGATCCATAGTCTGGGAAGATCCCACATGCCGTGGAGCACTAAGCCTGTGTGCCACAACTACTGAGCCTGCGCTCTAGAGCCCGTAAGCCATAACTACTGAGCCCATGCTCCACAACTACTGAAGCCCTTGCATTCTAGGGCCCACGTCCTCAACTACTGAGCCCACGTGCTGCAACTACTGAAGCCTGCATGCCTAGAGCCCGTGTTCCGCAACAAGAGAAGCCACTGCAATGAGAAGCCTGTGCACCACAACGAAGAGTAGCCCCTGCTCGCCACAACTAGAGAAAGCCCGCGTGCAGCAGTGAAGACCTAGCACAGCCAAAAAATTTTAAAAAAAACAAAAATTACTTCAGTGTTAGGGTGTGTTGAGGCAGGTGATCGCACAAATTTTGTTATGCAGATTACACTTTTAAACATTTCTTATGTGACTGATATTCTTCTAAATACAAAATTTTTATTTAAAAGTAAAACAGTACAAACGGTTATCTAATGAAAATTAAAAGGCTTCACCCTGCCAGCCAACAAACTTAAATTTCATACACTCTTCCAGCAATACTTTATGTATTGGGTTTGGCCAAAAAGTTCGTTTGGGTTTTTCCATAAGCTGGTATGGAAAAACCCAACGAACTTTTTTTTTTTTTTTAGTATTTATTTGGTTGCACTGGGTCTCAGTTGTGGCAGGCAGGCTCCTTAGCTGCGGCTCACCGGCTCCTTAGTTGTGGCATGCAAACTCTTAGTTGTGGCATGCACGTGGGATCTAGCTCCCTGACCAAGGATCAAACCTGGTTCCCCTGCATTGGGAGTACAGTGTCTTATCCACTTGCACCACCAGGGAAGTTCCCCGAATGAACTTTTTGGCCAGCCCAACATTTAATGTTTATGATTCTTCCCCCAAAACTAGTTATCTATTTGTAAAAATGAAAATAGACTCCCTCATTAGCTAACAACCAATAGCTGTCAGTGAAACCGAGTGGGGCCCTGTGGGGCTCCGAGGCATGGAGGCCCTTTTGTCCCCCATTTCTTGAAGGCAAGACTCCAGTCTCCATGACTTTCCTTAGTTCCAAAGGGCAGATTTGAACAGTTGCTAATCAAGGGAGGAAGCAGCCAAGAAGCCACCTGAGGCAAGATTAAAGGGACCAGAGAAGCTCCTCAAGATTAGGAGACCACCTGAGATGAGATGAAGGGAGTGAAAGACCTGTGTACACCCTGATGTTGTCAGAGACCCCACCTCTGAACCACTGTTATAAAACCGTCATCAAATCCTCCCAGGTTGGGACACATAGTTTTTCAAGGCAGGAGCCTGCTGTGTCCCCCTTTGCCTGGCAAAGTAATAAGGCTATCCTTTTCTACTTCACCCAAAACTGTGTCTCTGAGATTTGATTTGGCACCAGTATACAGAGAAGTTGAGCTTTCAGCAACATCACCAATCTCCAAGATTTTACTGAGACAAAACTATGCTGTATTTATGTGAGTGACCATGGAACACAGTGACTCATGGCCCAAATTCAAAACTAAGAACTAATTATGCTCTATAATTCCTCTTCATAATTCCTTTTATATTATGAAATATAAAACTAACTTTTATACTATGAAATATTTTATACTTAAAAATACATGCATAACCTAAAACCAAAATGAACATTCATAACCTAAAAACAAAATGAACATTCATGAAACCTAATACTACTAAAGAAACAGAACATTACCAGTAAACTAGAAGCCTTCTGAAGAAACAACCACTATCATGATGTTGTATTTAAACATTCATATGATTTTCTTTAGAGTTGTATCACAGATGCAGGTATCCCTAAACAATATAGTTTACTTCTGCTTTGTTTTGAATGTTATTATACTGCATGTATTCAGCAACTTGCTTTTTTCTGCTTCACATTTGTGGGTCATCTGGGCTGACACCTGGTGATGTAGTACATTCTTTTTCACTGTTATATAGTATTCTGTTATATGAACAGAGTACAATTTATCCACTATGTCCACAAATATTTGGATTTTTTTCACCTAAAGTTTTGTTTTGTTACAATGTTATTATGAAGGTTCTTGTATCTGTCTCTCAATGTACATGTGTAAGGTTTTCTCTAGGGCATATACCTACTAGTGGAACTGCTGAGTAGTAAGGTCTGCACATAGTCAACTTCATAAGAAAGTTGCCAAACTGTTTTCATAGTGGTTATATAATTTACACTCCCACCAGAAGTTTCTGTAAAACTTTCCATAAAACATCTCACCAACACTTGGCATTGTCAGATCTGCATTCTTGCCAATTTTGTTGGTATAAAATGCCATCTTGTCCTTTTAACTTGCATGATCCTAATCATTACTGAGATTGAGAATCTTTTATGTTCACGGGCCTTTGGGGTATCCTCTTTTGTGAAATGTCTGTTCAATCTTTTTTGCTCACTTTTCTACTTGGTTGGTTGTCATGTTTTTAATGATCTTTTGAAGTTCTTTACATATATTCTGGATACTAATCTGTCAGTTTTATATGAGGCAAATATCTTCTCTCAGCTTTTCCTTGTCTTTTTGCTTTCTTTATAGTGTATTTGAATAAATTCTTAATTTCAATAATATCAACTTTAGTAATCTTTTAGTTCATAGTTTCAACCTTATCTGGTTAGTAAAACAATTCTATATTGTCTTCCAAAAATTCGAAGGTTTCCCTTTCATAAAGTTTTGGGGTTTTCTTTCTTTTTTTTCTTTTTTGCATATATTAGCATTTATTCTCTTTATTCTTTTGTGCTCAAAGGGAGATTTCCAACTCTTCTTTCATATTTAGGCTTTTAAATTCACCTGGAATTGACTTTTGTATACAGTATGAGGTAGGAATCTAAAGCTTTTTCCATATGAATAATTATCCCAGGCCCCTTTATTGAATATCAGTCCACCCTTTCTCACTGAGCTGCAATATCACTGATGTAAATCCAATTTCCACATAGATATGAATCTGTTTCTAGGCTTTCTGGTTTGTTCCACTGGTATATTTGTCTATTCTTAGCTTGATTTGTGTCATAATGACTATGGCTTTATAATAAGTATTAATGTCTGATACAGTTCTTTGGGTAGAACTGGTATGTTCATGATATTTAGTCTTATCTATGAATAGTATGGTTTTCCATTTAACTTAGGTCTTCTTTAATGTCTGTACATTTTGATAATTTTCTAGATGTACACAAATGTAATCTGCTCCTCATCAGTGATGTGATCATTAGTGATCTGACTGTCCAGTCAGGGTGTGGTCTGATTGCTGCAGCATCTGGTTACTAGTTTTCACCTTGTAACTAATAAGCAATCTAGAGCGAGACACTTGAAGACCATGCAAATATGCTGCTCAACAATGTACTCAATATTAAGCATTCACCATATTACAAGATGACAATTTCTTATTCCAGCCCTCCTCCTCAACATCTAACAGTCAGCATTTGGCACTTCAGTGTAAGGAAGAAGAGTCTCTTCTTCTTGTTGATGAGTTCCAACTTTTTCTCAGTGGTCTATGATTATTGTTCGTAATTATTTTGGAGTTCAAATTAACCCAGATTTAGCCAGTGGATCCTCTTTGGGTTGGTTCCTGTGCCCTTATGACACATCCCCATTATTTTTTTGAGCATTTCCTTTCTTTCTCAGATAACATGATGTTCTGTTGCTTGCTTATTTTTGATAGTCTCCTATTTCTTACTAATACTTTCTATCCCCTTTATTTCTTCAAAAATAATACTTATTTTATACTCAGCGTATGATAATTCTAGTATCAGAAGCCTTTGCTGGTCTGCCTGTGATGTTTATTGTTTCTGCTGCCTTTTTTGCTCCTTGTGCCTTTGCTCAAGGTTTTATGATTATAAATAAATAAATAAAAATTTTTTTGCGGGGGTGGGGGGCTTCCCAGGTGGCAGTGTGGGTAAGAATCCGCTTGCCAATGCAGGGGACATGGGTTCAAGCCCTGGTCAGGGAAGATCCCACATGCCGTGGAGCAACTAAGCCCGTGTGCCACAACTACTGAGCCCTCGAGCCACAACTACTGAGCCCTCAAGCCACAACTACTGAGCCCACGTGCCACAACTACTGAAGCTCATGCACCTAGAGCCCATGCTCCGCAACAAAGAGAAGCCACAGCAATGAGAAGCCCGCGCACCGCAACGAAGAGTAGCCCCCACTCGCTGCAACTAGAGAAAGCCCACGCGCAACGAAAACCCAACAGAGCTAAAAATAAATAGATAGGTAAATTTATTAAAGAAAAATTTTTTAAATTGTGAGTTCATATTCCTTTGTGGGATTTTCTTTGAGGCCTGGATTGAGGATACATTTATCTAAAGAGGCCCTACATTTGTTTTCTCCAGGTTCCTTGGTATATTACCAATCCATGAGCACTTTACACTAAATTCTTCTCTGTTTGGAGTTTTTCAGGTCAAACTGGTTCTATGAATTTAGGCTGAAAATGCTATCAGAAGCCTACAGTTACAAATTCTCAGAAATTTTGCCCCTTTGCCCCACAGTCAGTCAGACAAGTTTCCTTGTCCTCTTCTTTTATGGAGAAGATTTTCCTCATTATTTCCATGAGGATGTGGCCCTCAAGTTCTAGGTTAGACATTACCATAGATTTCTCCAAGATAGCTAGTGGCTTAGGTGCTGGCTTATTTTCCAAGATTCCTGCTCCAGTTTCGTTTTTGGCCTCTAGAAATTTCCATTACATTCTAACCATCTCAGACATTAATTTAAAAGATGTTATTTATATTTTCCCAGAATTTTTGGTTTTTCCAGATATAAAGTCCAGAAAGAGAAATCATCATGTCATTTGCCCCTATATCCTGCTTGTTTAATTTTTCAAGTTTCAATGAAAAATAACCATCTGGCCTTTTTACAAATCGCTGAGTTGCTTAAAAGTTCCTAGTTATCCTAAACATATCTTTTCTATATTTTTTCACAAACCTGCCCATGTTTTCTCCTTGGGGGGGGGATAGGAATGATTGTCATGTTCTTTTGTTTAAGGGAACCAAATTGAAATTATCATATGTAGAAAAATCATGCATTCTTACATTTTGGGACAGAAATATAAAAAGTACACTTTCCTAAGAATACCATCAGCACAGGATTACCATACTTATTAAATAGTGGAAATTATTTTCCACTCTATTTTTGGTTTTTTCTTTTTAAATTTTAAAATTTTATGTCTTACTTTATTGAGATATAATTGACATACGGCACTGCAGGAGTTTAAGGTATACAACATGATTTAAGTTACACAGATCATGAAACGATTACCACAGAAAGTTTAGTGAACATCCATCATCTCATCTAGACACAACATTAAACAGAAAAAAAATTTTTCTTTGTGACGAGAACTCTTAGGATTTACTCTCTTAACTTCCATTTATAACGTACAGCAGTATTAATCATCTTTATCATGTCATATATCATATCACTAGTACTTATTTATCTTACAAGTGGAAGTTTGACTACCTTCATCTAATTCTACCTTCCCCACCCAACATTTCCACTCACTTTATGGAGTAAAACTGATACACCAACTTCAAATTGTTATACTCCTTCTGGTAGTGAGGACTGGGATGAGCTGTCTACTTCAATGGCTGATACCACTGCACACCTGCTTCATGAGTGGCTCAGCCAATATATGTAATAAATGAGTTGTAATGAAATAGAGCTGTGTCTAAAACAAACAAATGCTAAAAAAACAAGAAAACACACACATAAAACCTGTCCCCACTGATGGAAGACACTAGTGACTATGAACCCTGCCTTATGCAACTAAACTAAGAGATTCAGAAAACAGGTCCTGGAGAAAAAGAGAGCAACAGAACCAGCGAATTCTAAATGCTGTGAATTCGAAATGTTGTACTTTTTACCTGTAGCACGAACTGAATTTAGGATGGTCTCTCGGTATGCCACCTGGAGGGGCCCTAGATAGGTTTCCAGTCCATATTCCCTCTTGATTCGGTCATGAATTATCTCAATATGCAACTCCCCCATGCCACAAAGGATAGTCTGGTTAAAAGAGGAAGAAAACAAAGATCAAGGAAAAAATTAAGTTTATCACAAAATACTAATAAAGGTATATCAATATATTTTATTTTTCATTACTTACAAAATGAATTTCTTCCGTAATTTTTTTTGGCTCCTACATCAAAACACTGCTTTTAACTTTTCTGATTGAAATAATAAATCAATTAAAAGTGAATCACTAGGCCAATCTCTTATTCTTTGATAGCTGAATTATCAGCTGGGTAAGTGGTATCTAACTAGAACTACACTTCCCAACCACAAAGGTAAGTTCTGGCCAGTGAAATATAAGCATAAATGATGTTGGTAACTTCTGGGTTATGTCTTTAAGGGTAAATAAAACCCTTCTCTTAATGAAGATATAGACAACCGTCTTGAAATGTGAATGAGGGCAACATCTTGTGAATGGGGGGAATAATCCCTCCCCCAAACACTGCCAACCACATGGCTATTTCCAACCATCCTGGGCACCTTACAGTTTTGTGGGCAGTTGAAATTTCCAAAGTAGCTTGGAACTTTATGTGACAGAGAAACTGACTTTTATCTTCTTTGAACCAATGTTATTTTGGGTCCTTGTTAGAACAGTCAAATTTGCATCAAAACCAATCAAAACATGTTTTTGTTTTTAGAAAGCAACAATGGTTATTCCTGAAGAAGGTCTTTATGTATGAGAGAATATAGTGCAAGGAATCCACATTTGCCCCATTTTATTCATATACCATCTGTGTAGTGAGGCATTAACTTACCCTAAGGAGAGATCTGGCCCTTGCCTTCAGCTACTGGGAAGTTATCTCTAGGCCAAGATGCTGCCTGATAGAAATGTCTTTGCTTGTCTGGGGACTTTGTCCACCAGATAGTCTAACAATGTGATTTATGATGCGGCTTTGGAATAGCGGTACCCATTTACAACCTAGACAGTAAAGGTAGTAGCCCAAACCTACAGGAGGCACTAGAGATTAAATGTCAACCACATAGACAGTATGTGATTATGCCCTAATAAAAACTCTGGGCATGGAAGGCCTGGGTGAGCTTCCCTGACTGACAATACTCCATGCCAGGAGGATGAAGAAAAGCCTTGCATTTAGAACCCTCTCAGACTTTGCCCTAGGTGTCTCTTCCTTTGGCTGGTTCTGATTTGTTTCCTCACACTATAATAAAACTATAATTGTAAGGAACAACAACAAAAAACTATTTGGTGTATGAGGGCTATACTATAATATAAAGTTAAAGAAGTAATTATTTGGAAAAAAGCCAGTTGTAGAATAATACAAATAGAATGACTTCTTATATATCTGTACATATATATTTGGAAACATAAATACTGTGTTTTATAACATTGCACAGCAGAAAAATGGATGTTTGGAAAAGTGTGAAAGGCTATTCACCAAGTTTTCACAGTGATTACCTATGTAGAAAAGGATAGAGAGACTGAAAGGGAGACTTTAATTCTTTAATTTGTACACTTGAATGTTATTTGCTATTTAAAAAAAAATATGTACTGGCATTTTTAAAATAAAAAGTTTGTTTTAATTGCTGTTGTAGCCTTCAGAATCAATTAAACTAAATTGCTACCTCATTTAGCTGGCATTTGGGAAAATAAAGTACTCCATATTTTTCAGATTAACTAAATCAGTTTATCCTTTTTAAAGGCAAATTTATAATTTTTTAAGGAAAATTTTCTAGAATTTTATATAAACTCTACCCTGCCCCCCTAAAAAGAAGAGGCAGAATGAATATGTGTTCTTCTACTGTATTATATAATATACAGCACAGTCCTGTACCTACTTTAGGTCTCTATTTCCTCCCACATTGTTAGGCTGTAATCTATCACTTCTCACCCATTTTAGGTGTGTTATCATCATTAAAAGTATACCTAGGGCTTCCCTGGTGGCGCAGTGGTTGGGAGTCTGCCTGCCAATGCGGGGGACGCGGGTTCGTGCCCCGGTCCGGGAGGATCCTGCGTGCCGCGGAGCGGCTGGGCCTGTAAGCCATGGCCGCTGGGCCTGCGCGTCCGGAGCCTGTGCTCCGCAGCGGGAGAGGCCGCAGCGGTGAGAGGCCCGCGTACCGCAAAAAAAAAAAAAAAAAAAAAAAGTATACCTATGCATCCTTCCTTTAGAAAGCTGCTTCTATAAGTTTTAGCATAAGAGGCTCAAGGTTTTGTCTTGGGGTTGAACCTTATTTCAAAATTTCACAAAAGGCTGTCTTCTGGAAGGTAGAAATGTTGGAAAGTAGTTTATATAAGTAAGGTATAATCATACTGAGGAATAAGAGAATTTAACTTGACAGTCAAAATATAATCAGAAATTTATGAGAGAACCAAAAAAGGCTTTTTCTTTCAGGGGCATAGACCAATCAATGTTTTGGATATATGCACTTAAACACTCTCTCTCACACACACAAATGTTTTTATTGAAAGATTCTGGGGATTAAATAATAATATGCATACTTGTCCAGAGTCAGGATCTAGCTTCACTTTCAAACTGGGATCTTCACGCTGAAGGCATTTCAATGCATGATCCAAATCTAGAGGATAAACAATAACTGTTATCTTTATGTTTCATTTTTTTTTGATAAGGTACTATACATTCTAGTGGGAAAATAGATGAACAAGCAAATTTTGAAAAAGAACATTTCAAACAGCCAGAAATGTTCTGGAGAGAATAAAACAAGGTGATGAGATAGTGATGGGAGGTTACTTGAGATTGACCTGGGAAGACCTGTCCAGGATGATTTAGATAAAGACACAAACCAAAAAGAATATCGCAAGTAAAATCCTGAAGAAAAAGAATTCCGGATAGAGGAAATGGCTGTGCAAGGAATGGCTTCTACTGGAGAAACAAGAAGGCTAGTCTAGCTGGATATTGGTGGACAAAAGAAAGAGTAGCATCAGATGAGGCGGGAGATGTGTGACAGGGAGCACACCATGTAAGGTATTGAAGGCCATAGTGAAGAGTTTGGATGTACACTGGGAAGCCACTGAAGGGTTTAAACGGGATAGTAACATCATCTGATTATGTTCTGCAAAGGTTAAGGAACTGACAAAAAAAGCAAAACAGACTTTAGAAACACATACAATAATAAGAAACTGGCAAAAGGAAGCTAAATTACATCATGAATAAAGAGATACTAATGTGATCACTCTATGATGAATTATCACACCAAGGAGGAAGTAAGAATACAGCTGACCCTTACACAACATGGGTCTGATGCGGGTCTGCTTACACGCGGATGCAGAATCGGAGGACCTAAGTATAGGGAGGGCTGACTGTAAGTTATACTGGGATTTTCAACTGTGTGGAGGGCTGGGGCCCCAAGCCCCCTGTTGTTCAAGGGTCAACTGTATGTTATTTGCATTAAATATGCCATCTAAAGTAAAGAGATACTTTGATACAATCAATTAACTGATATGCACATGCTCCCTCTTTAGACCTGCACTGTCCAAATGGTAGCCACGACCCATCTGTACAAGATATTACGAGTCTGAATTAATGTTAGCTGTAAGTGTAAAATTCATACCAGGTTTCAAAGACTTCACATGGAAAAGAAAAAAGAAAGTAAAGTATCTCAATAATTTTTATATTATGTTGAAATGATAATATTTTGATATACTGAGTTAAGTAAAATACATTACTAAATTAATTTTGCCATTTTAACTTTCTTTAAATGTAGCTATAAGGAAATTTTAAGAAGCGGGATGGAAAGACTGGAGCTTGGGTGCCTGATGACGTGTGGAGTCATCCTTGAACCCCTGGGATACCAATTCAAGGCATATTTTACAAGAGAAAAAAGTGAACTTTTGTCGTTAAAGCAACTGCTATTTGGGGGTTTTATGCTCTATGTAAGCAAATCTAACAAGAAATGTTATAGCTGGAATCATGAGCTTTACTATATACTATACTAAGGAGTTTGGGTTTCTGCTATAAGTAATGAGAAGCCACTGAAGTATTCTGAGCCAATATGCCAAAGAACTATTTATCACTCAGAAAGGTCAAATGACATTAAACATACTATATAAATATCTTCACTGAGTTCTAAAAGTTAAGCCAGAAAACAAGGAAAAGCTGATTTTTATAAATGGTGATGGGAAGCTGAATCGGTTATGAATTGGTTACCATCTAATCTAATACACTGGAAGGGCAGTCCTGAGGTCAATTACTTAGAATCCCATAGATAGCACCACAAGAACAGAATAAGGAAAAATATGGTAAGAGAAAAATGGCAAAGCTGAAAGAAAAAAAAATGAAAAGAGTTTGTAAAAATCAAAACAAATTAAAAAACTAGACCAATCATAAGAAATACTTACCAATATATGCTCATAAAATTGAACTCAGTGACATAAGAAACCTTTTGAGGTTAAAATGTAACTATTTTATCTAAATTATCAGAGCACTAATTAATTGATGCACCAAGATTATTTGTACCTGGCTGCTTAGCCACTGATGGAGGTTCTATGGTACAGAAGAAAACAGGTTCTGGAATCTCCACCCCAGCCAACAAAAGCCTCTCTGCTTCATTGCTTTGTCTATGCTTCTTTTCTCCCTCCCTTTCCGCTCGACGACATGCAGCTAAAGCACTGGACTTGGATGAGACAATGGTGTCACCAGTGGCAGTCTGCAAGCAAAGAAGATGCCTTGGGACAAAACAGGCTATTGGCAAGCACTCAGCTTCCACCAAGGACCACGAAAACCAAAGAAAAATTTTAAGGTAGCACTTCCTCTTCATCAGAACTTAAAAGAGAGACAAATTCATTAAGCTCATTATAACTCTGTGTTGGTAAAGCTAATTTAAGTTGTAGAAGAATTCTGTCCAAAATATTGCTGTAATAAGTTCTAACAATAAAACATTCATACACACAAAAAATACATTTAAAACTCATTTGGTAAAACAAATTCATCTTTGAACAAGAGACAAAAGAACGAAAGAGACAAAAATCCTTGCCCTTACAGAGACTTCATTGGCAAAATATCTTCACTTTTTAACCTGATCCGTTATAAAGTTAGATTTAATTGTCTGCAATAATCAAGATAGGAAAAAAAAAAACAATGAAAATAACATTATTTTACATAAACTTAAAACATAAGTATATATCCATAGTGTGTGTATTTTACTTGGATTTGAACTTTATATGAATACAATCCATTCTGTAATTTACTTTTCTTTCTATTAAATGTTTGAGATTCAACCATGTTGATGAATATACTACAATATTCATTATTCCACTACTGATAGCTTTTGGATTGTCTATGGGCTTCTGCTATTACAAAATACCTACTTTTAATTAAACATTTAATCTGTTATTTCCTAGAGAAAAGATTTGGTCACTTACGTTTTTAAGCCCAACAGTCAAAGCAATGTTACCAGCAGTCAGTGAAGGGATTTCTACATGCTGGTCAGCAAATGGCAAAAGCAGACGACTTATTCTCTCCCTGTAAAACCATGATTTATATTAGTAAAAGTATATTTAAAGAAATGAGTGAAGTTTTAGAAAATAACCTAGGCTTCTACTTACGTGCAGTTTCCATTAATATTATGGATGGCCAATTGGCGTTTTATCATGCCTGAGTAAATGCGCAAAAATACCAGTGGGCCTCGCTGCTTGTCATGGAGAACTTTAAATGCCAGGGCACATAAGTCACCCTTATACCACTGCCTATAAAATTAAGGAGAAGTTCCAGAAAAGCCACTTTAAAATACACTTCCTATATATCAATACAGATCAGATCAGAATCACTGCATAAACCTAACCTTGATGTCCTCAAAAGATTCCTCATATCTTCCAGTTTAGCTACCAAGGCCAATTAAATAATGTATTATGTACCTCTCTTCCTCCACCGGACTAAATTATTCATTGGAGATCTTACCATTAATTCCTCAAAACCAAAAACAATGGATTCTTTTCCAAATATTACCTCTATTAGCAAATAATTCTTGCCTAGATTTCCCTCCTCAAAAAATATACCTAGGAACATCACACCACTTCTTAAAACCCCATACAGGGTAAACAAATAGGTACTTTCCAATTATTGCTTTCACTCTCTCCTCCTACTTTTCTTCAGCTGCATAGCCATATAAATCTACACTATAAACTTGAACTTGTTTACACTTACAGAATGATGTCCTTAAACTGGAGTTCATTACTAGGTTTCAGAAAGTTTGAATCCCTCTCAAATTGCCAAACTTTGCACATAGGTACATTTTTCTGAGGAAATATGGAAATATTTCTCCATATTTTCATTAGTTTCAAAGGAGTCCATGATTCAAAGTAGGTTAGACACTTCTATTATTGAATTTCTCTAATCTTATTCCTGTTCCCTCCAAATTTTAATTTTATTTAACAAATCCTTATATAGAGAGTTGATCATATACTAGGCACTGTTTTATGTGCTTTATAAATATTAGCTCATTTGATTCTTGTAACAATCCTATGAGATAAGTCCTATTCTCTGCATCTTATAGATGAGAGGTTAAAGCAATTTGGAAGACCTGAGATTTAAATCCAGGCAGTACACAGTCTATGCTCATCTCATATCACCATAATGCCTCTCCAGTTGAGGCATATGGAAAGTGACTCAGGTCCTAGTTAATAGGATCAAAGTTCACCTCTGTTTGCCATTTGGCACAAAACTCACTCAGATTTTAGAGGATTTATTACGAAGGACAAAGCTGTTAGTGACAAGAGGAAAAAACAATGGACCTTTCCTTACAGTTACAAAATATTATGAAAAATCTTGAAATCCAGAATATAAATGTATCTATAGAATATTTATCAAACATCCCCAGTATACTACTTTTTTTTTTTTAACTAAGATGGCAGAGTCAACACTTATACTTTTACACAGCAAAAAAGCCATAAATTCTTATTTAGCTCCATCTGTAAACACAGCAGGTTATAAGAGATGATGACAAATATCCCTTTCAAGTAAAAATTACTATGGCTCTATATTATGTTATTTAGAATAATATTCTTCACCAATGTTATTCAAAAACTGTGATTCAGCTACTCTCTGTGAAACATGACCTATCTGTCTACCTGTCTTTTCAAGGCTATACGATTTTAATCTATGCACTTGCATACTTACAGAAATTCATAGTTGCGTTCTTCAGGTGAAGGCAAGTACATAGTAATAGCATCTAACAAGGGCTGGACCCCTTTGTTTTTCAGGGCACTTCCACAAAGCACAGGCACTGCTGTCTGAGCCAGTGTTACTCTGTGTACTGCAGTTTGTAGCTGTAAAGCAGAGATATAAATGTTTTATGTGTAGTATTCTGGTCTCGACCAAAATATCCCAGAATTAGATGCCTTCCCTAACCAACCACGTAAAATATCACTCCTCAGCACACTTCCATCATTCTTTTTGGCCTCATTCTTCTTTATTTTTCATTGTAAATAACATTAATCACTACCTGGTATATTAGATATATATTTATTACTTTATTATCTGTCTCCCCAGTCACTAGAATGTAAAATCTATATAAGCATTATAGTAAGTCCCATAAAGATACTGTAAATCACAAGAAACTGGAAAAGTGCTTAAAATAAAGTAGATGCATAAAAATATTCCTTGAATAAGTGAATTAATATACTTGTGATTTAACCTCGATAGTCTCCTAGAGGAACTGGTTAGAAATTAGAAATATAAATGAGTTACAATTTCTTCAAATAAATTAAATCCATATTAAATAAAATCCAAAGGAAAATGAGGTATCAAAGTAGAAACAATTTTTAAAAGACCTCAAAAACCAAGAAAAGCTTAGGTGTGCTTGCAAGCTATTGATAAGAGAAACGGTGGGTTAATTTTAGATTGTAGGCTCTTTGAAAACAGAAATCATGTTATATGACTATAGGGCACAATAAACATCACATTTAAGCATTCGAATACTAAACAAGAAAAAAATTCAAACTTACAACATTTCATTCAAAAGAAAAGAAATAATTTTTTCCACCTCTAACTTCAAATGGCTCAAAATTAATCTACAGATCTTGTGTTTTTCTTTACTTCTTTTCATGAAAAATAACCAAGTGAATTTGCTGGGCTCATCTTGGAGCCCACTTAAAACACTACCACTTAAAAAACTTTTCATGGGGGAAGGTTCCTGGCAGAAAAAATAAAAAACGCCTTGAATAAATCTGTCATAATTCAAATACTACCAGTATTTTACTGGCCTATTCTCTGGTTTAATATATTTCAAAACAAAACCAAAAAAAGGGAAGACCTGGAATAAGTTTCCACTAACAATTAAAACAGATTCAGAAAAAATGTTCTGAGAAAAATGACCATTATAGTATCCGAAAGACCAGTAGATCAAAAAAAAAAATTCTATCTGTGATTTCCCTAATACTACTTAGTGAAATGATCACAATGAAGGGAAAAGCCTGCAGTAAATGAACAATGTCTTTTAATTTTTAACACTGTTCTCCTAATTTTTAAGTCCGCATTTTCTAATGATATGCAAAGTTGAAAAAAAAAAACCCACCTACAATAGAGTAATCAAACCACATCCAATTAGTAAAACTTGGTCAAAGTAAATGAATAATAAAATTTACCTTTTCAGCCGGTAGCAAATCAAAATTCTCACTAAATTCTCCTAAAACCAAGTCAGCAAATTCATCATCCAAATCTGCAACCTATAAAGAAAGGCTTTAGTTCTGTAACTCGCATTCATCATCCCAACTACTAACTTAAGTCTACACACCATAAATATTCATTACCCAACTATTTCAAGACAGCTACATGATCTAACTTATCCAGACCAAGGAACTCTTCACATCTTCTAAAGAGATAAAGAGTTTTTCTTTCAAAGGAAAGGAGATTGAAAATTGAAGATACGCTCTCATGAGTTTCCTAAACTCATGGGAAGCCAGAGCCAGACAGAGCACCTCAATGAAGTGTGCTACCTACTCAGTGCTCAAAAGAAATAAAAAGTCCACAGCTGATAGCCAATGATAATATATACAATGAACTGCTATTTTTAAATAGATTTGGGGGGGGTCTTAGTTCATAAAAAAAAGTTTCATTTGGTAATCCTCTAATATTTTGAATGTTCACCAGATCTCCAAGACATTCAAAGTAAAATGACTGAACTTGTTTATAATCCTTCACTGAGGGAATAAATTTAAGTTGAGGGGGTAGTGGTATAATTTCAATAATAAAGATGTAAAATTATCTAATTCGTGTTCATTTCATAATCATCTGCTTATATGACAGGAGAATTCAACTGACAATAAAATTAACAAAAGAGTTCCAAAAGTTTATAACAGTAAAAGGGAGCAAAACATTCAACCTTGGTGAGAAAAACACATTTTTAACAGCTAACTATAGCAGAAATGTACCCAACCATCTTTCCAAAAAGCAGCAAATATGATGATTAAGCATAGCTTCTGGAATCAAACTGTCTGGAAATGGCTCCACTACTTAAAAACTTGTTCAAAAAAACTTTGGTCAAGTTACATCACCTCTCTTTGTCTTGGTTACTCATGGAGATAATACTAGTACTTATCCTATGGTGATACTGGGAAGTTTAAATAACCAATTCCAATTATGCTTCCAGAATATATAGTAAGTATATAATAAGCATTGTTTTGATCGCGGTTCACCTTTAGAACACAGGAAGTTGATTCTAGTCCACACTAATCTTATTCTCTAATTCAAAAAAATTTTTTTAACTTTGATAAAATATAACAAACATAAAAGTACCACCTTAATCATTTCTAAGTGAATAGTTAGGAAGTAGTAAGTATATTCCACACCGTTGTAAAATTAATCTCTAGAACCTTTTCATGTCACAAAACTAAAACTCTATACCCATGAAACAACTCTTCCTCGTTCTCCCCTCCCCACAGCTCCTGGTAACTACCATTCTACTTCCTGTCTCTATAAAGTTGAGGACTCTAAATACTTCATGTATCTGTAAACTATGAAGTAAAGCAAACGAAAGATAAACACTGCAATCAAGATAGTGGTGACGGTGGGGTAGATGATTAGTGGAAGGGAGAGAGAAGCGCAGGGAGTAGCACAGGGAGAGTCAAGAGTATTGCTAATATTCTATTTCTTAAGTTGGGTGGCGATTACACTGGTGTGCACTGTATTATACTTTACATATTCCATATGTAATTTTAGATGAAATTTCACAATAAATATTTTTTAAAGTTTCTAAATATTTACGCAATTTTAAGCTCAAAGTATTTATTTTACTTGTTCAATTAAGGCATTCCTTGCTTCCGTTATCTCCTTCAGCAATTCAGGATCACTCATTTCCAAGAGGGGTTTTCTCTCAAAGTCTTTTCCATCATCTGAATTGGGATTCCAAAGAAGTTTTTCTTTACTTACTACATCCACCACTCCTTTGAAAGTTTTGCCTTCACCAATTGGTAACTATAAGTCAGAGTGAGATTAACATTTTATTAAATGATCATTAGAACTCAATTAGAATTGCACTGGTGATAGAATTTACCTTTCCCCACTCCCCCCCAAATGTCTCTTATCATTATTGCCATAATCTATACCTATTTTTATTTATATCCTAACTTCTTCCAAAAGGATTTGCGAAAGCTTCAAAAATGTATATAATATGCCACAATAAAATACGTTGATGAGGAAGCTGAGAAGGATCTGTTCATATTAATAAACCAAATATTAATCAACCAACCTGTAAAAGCAAAGGCTTTGCCTTCAACTTCTCTCTGATGCTTTCAACTGCATAGTTAAAACTGTAGAAAGTAAAATCATTTAAAATGTTAAGATACTTAAAACAGGATTTAAGAATGTACTCTAAAATTATAACCCTAAATTGTTCCTAACGTTTACCATTTAACAGTTTTCCACAGGACAACATCTTGTCTAATCTTTTAACATTAATTTCAGATAATAGTGACTGAGTATCTACCATAATTCTGCCACACAGGTATTTAGGGTATTATTATTGTGAGCTTCATTTAACTAAAGTTTGAGGTTAAGTGACTTGATCAAGGTCACACATAATAAACTGGAGTTAAGATTCAAATGCAAGATTTGTGATTACAAGTCAAAGATTCTTTCTTCTAACAACTATGTTTGTTATCACACGACTACCCACTTTCTTCCAAGAGCCAGCCTGTCTAATTTTTCTACACTTTTATCTTAGGCATTGTTCGTATCATATGCTATGCTGTTCACTTCTGTGCTAACACTAGGGTTGGCTACCTATGGAACACATGACACATCTTTGGCACGTGGGCTGATTCATACACACATGCAGATCATTCTGGTCCCAATGTCTTTAAGAAGCAGCCTACTATCCAGTCATCTCCCTCCCCATCATCACAGGTGCTGTCAGTCAGTATAGACAGTATTTCCCTCAACCTCAAGGAACTCCAAACAGAAAAGGGTCAGAACCTAAGCCTAGCACATTTTGAAGGTTGCTGTGCTTTTACTAATCAAGACAAAAGTCCTCTAAACCAGCAGCTTTAGAATGACTGTAGAGAGTTACAGAAATACAAAGCATACTGTGTGGTATCAGGAGAGACATGGTTTATGTTTTCTTATTGCCGCTCTCATACCACAGATCAGGATCTCTCCCTTTCACATTTCCCCAGTATCCTTTGATTCTTAATTCTTGCCCTTTCACATTTTCTCCAAATCCTTCATTATTCTTGACTGTCTGGATTCTGTTCTCAGAACAACGTATCCATTTTGGATTACCACTCTGTAAGTCTGCAGTATTACCACTACATCTCAGCATTAACTCTTTTGCCCTATACGCAGGTCTCAAAACATCTACATTCTCCTCTCCTAGTTTCCTTTCATTGAGAGCATTTTACCCATTAGCTAAAGAAAATCGGGGACAAGGAAGAACATCATTCTCTGAAGCAACTACAAGAAACAATTCTCTTCCCTCCCCCATTAGCAATGACAGGGAGCACCGTAACATTCAGCAATACACGGACTCGACCATACAGCTCTAAATAGAAGCAACGGATTCAGCAAGACATCACTCTGTCAGGAGCCTAGAAATCAGGATAAAGCCTCTCTACATTAGAATCAGAATGATTCATCACCTATCAGCTCTCTATTAATCCCACATTGTTACTTTACCTATGAATCAACTGCTCTGAAAATTTTTTTAAATGGGATTGAATTGGGATTCCATGGAATATTTATACCTTTTAGGGAACAGCTGTTTATAAATTTAAGTTATAGTGCATTAAAAGCTCAAATCATATTCTTACTTTGATAAGCCAAAGAAACACACGTTAAATACCTTGCTCCAATTTTGTCCATCTTGTTTAAAAAACAGATTCGAGGTATCTTGTGTTTATCAGCTTGCCTCCATACTGTAAGAGTTTGTGCCTAGAGCAAAGATAAGGAAAAAAACCCATATTTGACAAAAATAACTATGTTACTACACATGGAATAAGCATACCTAAGACTCTATTATAACATAGAATTGGGCCCTATTCTAGCATAGAATTAGCGCCATCGCACACATACCTCTAGACCCACTCTTATGCTATCAGGTTAAAACAGTTAAGAAAATGATCAAGCATGACTGAAGATTATGCTTCAAACTGAGAATACTTTGGGTGAGCTAGGTTGCAACACAAAGAGAATTAACAACTGGGAAGTACTGGGAGTCACAGAAAGAGGACTTAACCAAGAATTACAAGACCTACTTTTTGTTTGGCTCCACCTTACTTAGTAACGTCACACAATACTGAACTTATCAGTTTTCTGATCTGTGAAATATGGACTTTTGCCTTAATTAATTCAGACAGTTGTGATGTAAAAAGAACAAATAGGAATGTACTATAAAATGCTACTATGATAAAAATCGTGTATTTTTACTGTGAATGTTTGAACGTTCATATAAACTGAAAAGGATTTAAGGGGGGAAAAGGAAGCCAATACCTGTATTTCTAAGTTACAATTCTCATATGCTTTTCTATTTGGCTTTCTGGTTGTTGTTAAACAAGTAATTTTTAATATTTGGCTTCTTTTAATTCCACTTTCTGTACATGTTAAATATAAACAGTTTGCCTAGTACAGTCTAACAGCCCTGAAGCAGAGCATTAAAAGCCTAATGTGCTGACACTGTTAAAACAGAAGCCAGTTTGTCATTTGTTTTATTAGGTAAAATTGATATACAATAAAATACAGTTGACCCTTGAACAATATAGGGATTAGGGGCGCCAACCTCTGCAAAGTCAAAAACCACTTATAACTTTACAGTTGGCCCTCCCTATGTGCTATTCCGCAACTGCAGATTCAACCAACCATGGATTATATAGTTCTGAAGCCCGTATTTAGAGGAAAAAATCCACATATAAGTGAACCCATGAAGTTTAAACCCATGTTGTTCGAGGGTCAATACAGATTTTCAGTTTATAGTTCAATGAATTTTAATAAATGCATATACTTGTATAACTATTACCCCAATAAAAAGAACATATAGAACGTTAGAGATTTTTATGTCCCTCCCCCCATAGCAACCTGTTCTGATTTCTGCCACCATAGATTCATTCTGCCTATTATTGAACCTCATATAAATAGCATAGCTTCTTTCACCCAACATAATGTTTCCGACATTCATTCATGTTGTTGGGCATACTGGTTCAGTTTTACTGCTAAATTCCTTTGTATAAATGTACAAGTTTTTCTATCCACATGTGGAGCACTTGTGTTGTTTCTAATTTGGGACTATTATGAATTTAGCTGCTATAAACATTCTGAACAAATCTTTGGTGAACAAATGTTTTCATTCCCTTGGATAAAGATGGAGGAGTAGAATTGCTGGGCTATAGGACAAGTGTATATTTACCTTTATAAGAAACTGCCAAATAGTCTTCCAAAATGGTTATAATATTTTACAGTCCCACTAACAATGTATAAGAGTTCCAGTTACTCCACATCCTCAACCATGATTTGCTATCATTCTTTTTAATTGTAGCCATTCTTGTGGGTATGAAATGGTCTCTTCGTAATTTTAATTTGCATTTCCCTAATGACCAATGAGACTGAGCATCTTTTCATGTGCTCACTGGTCATTCACATGTCTTCTTTGGTGAAGTACCCATTCAAGTCCTTTGTCTTTTTTTTTTAATTGGGTTGTTAGTTTTTATTATTGATATGCAGTTCTTCATATATTCTGGATACAAGTCTTTGGTCATACACATGTACTGTGAAAATTTCAGCACATACTCCCTAAGACAAAAATATTCTCTACATAATCAACTGTTATTGCACTCTGGAAGTTTAACATTCATATAATATTTTATCTAACATTATAAATTTTCTCACAGTCTAAGGTTTGCCTCTTTTTTTTAAGTTTCAAGCACCTAATTTTGAAGAGGTCCAATTAATCAACTTGTTTTTGTTTTATGCTTCTTGTGTCTTCTCCAAGAAATTGTTACCTACCACCCCCTCCACCCACGCCAAAGTTGTTAATACTTTATTTTCCCTCTAGAAGGTATACGGATTTAGCTTAACACTATGATCCACTCCAAACTAATTTTTATGTGGGGGTGGGGGGATATATACTATAAATTTCCCAAGAACTAAACATATTAAAAAATAAAACAACAATTCCTGTCACCCCACCTGCCAGCTGAAAGTCCATCTACTGTTTTAGCAAACAGTAGCCTCCTGTATCACAAATTCAGAAACTTCCTATTACAGCATATTTCAATCTTGTAAATAATGCAATCTGAATGATTAAGTGTCAAATTTATGTAAAGAAGTTATAATGACAGGAAGGATGCAACCATTAGGAAATGAAATGACTCAAAGAAATAGAAATAATAGGTGTATAATCAACCTCAGACATCAGTGTCAGGCTTTATATCAAGCAAATATCACTGTCTGTCAGGGGTCCTCAGGTGGGGCTTTCAATACAATAACTGTATTATTTCCCCTCGAACTAGTACAATAAGTATCCGCTTAGTCTTCACCTAAATTCACCAAATATTAACATGTTACACTTGCCTTTTTTCTCTCTCTATAAAACATTACGTGTCTGGTGGCTGGGAAAATGTGCCACTTGGAACTACTATAAAGAGCATGATTAACTGATGGTTCCAACTGTTACCCTTCTAGGTCTACCACCATGTATTCTCAAGGCGCACCTTCTTGGGGGCTGTTTCCAGCTAATGACTGAGCTCAGCAGAAGGACTAATGGAGGCCCATTCCCACAAGACATGGGTTCCTCTAACAGGTAACATTAGCTTGAGGACTCCCCATGAGCGAAGCCAAACCCTTTTGGAACTGTACTATGGCCTGAGACTCTTCCTGCCTAATCCCCCATCCTTCCCCCCTCCTTCACAGGTGTCAGCCTGCCCTGTGGTCTGAACGCCCTCTCCCACTTCCCTCTTTTCTCCCTTATTCTTCGCAGGTATTTCCCCCCCGATGAATCTCCTATACATCTAATCCCATCTTGGCATCTACTGATCAAAGTACCCAAACTAACACCATGTGTGTATGTGTGGGTGGATGGGAGCTGAACCATGAGAGCAAGTTGTAGACACCATGAGACTTTAATCCTAAATACTTCAGCATGCATTTCCTAAGAATAAGGACATTTTCCTACATAATCAATTACAAAGACCACATTCAGGAAAATTTAAGTTGACACAATACTTTAATATATATATATATTACATATTCAAATTTCTGATTTTCCCAGTGATGTCCTTTGTAACTTTTTCTTTTTGATCCAGGATTCAGCCAAAAAGGATATATTACATTTAGCTTTCCTGTCTCTTTAGAATCCTTTAATCTAGAACAATTCCACAGCTTCCCCCCAACCCCAATTGTTCGTTTTCCTTATGTTAAAACATTTTTTTTGAATTTCTGAAAAGCCTTGGCCAGTTGTTTTGCAGAATGTCTTTCAATTTAGATTTGTTTGTTTTCTCATGATTTGGGCCAAACATTTTTGCCAGGAATACAACATAGGTAATGTTGTATCCTTCTTAGTGCATCATATCAGGAGGCCCATGGTGTCAATTTGTCCCATTTTGGGGGATATTGATTTTGATCCCTTAATTAAGGTATCGCTTTTAGTCATTTTAAGATTAGAAGAACTAATGTGGGTTCTATATTCAAGATAAAGCCAATCTTGAGATTATAAAACAAATGGAGTACCAGCTAAAGAGAGCATAACTGACCCCAGTAGCAACAATTTTATTATAAACCCACTTTCAGGATTTATTCACGGAGTTATATATTAAGTTTTGGGAGAAAATCCTTCATGGGTCGCTCACATTTCTGCATGTTTTGTCAGGAGAGGCACTGACTGCCTTTATTCTGGACTATCTTTTCAAAAATGTTTGTATAGCAAACAGTTTAGAAAGATATTGTATCTCCCTTCAGAGCAAAAGGTAGGTTGGCTTGCAACCCTGGAAGATAATGTATCCCTTCAGAGCAAAGAGCAGGCACTTTTACTGGCCATTATAAAATACTTGCATTCTCTAAGCACAGGGTTCCACTGCAGCTGTCACCTGACTTACTTTTGTCACCCTATGGGAATTAGGGCTTGAGGAACCAACACAAGGAAATGCTGATACTCTGGATATTGCTATTTTGGTGATTAATAAAGTCCTTCATCCCTGACTCAGAAATCTTGTGTCTTCTGCCAGAATCCATAAAACTATGGCAGACGAACTTGTTAGCTTTAAAGTAAGAATCTCAGCCTCTTCACAGTTCTCAAAACTTTCATATTGCCTACAGAAAAGCAAACTTTACTTTCCCTTTTACTATGAAGTATATTATATGAGATCATATATAGATCATACCTCAATATTCAATTCCAAATTCCTTTAACCATAATTGGATTTATATGAGCTTACCAAATAAAGGGTTATAGTTAAATCAATCTGATGCATTCTACTTCTTTAAAAAATCATGCTGTTCTATCTTCACTTTACTTTGACAATATTTTTTACCTCTACACCAGCAGAGGCATCAAACACAGCCACTGCACCATCTAACACTCTTAGGCAGCGCTCAACTTCCAAGGTAAAGTCCACATGACCTAAGAAAAGGATGAGAAATGTAACACCTAAAATCTTTAAACCATCACCACCACCACCACCACCACCACCACGTGATCCAGCAATCCCAGTTTGGGTACATACCCAGAATAATTGAAAGGATAATCTCAAAGAGATATTTACGCCCCCATGTTCAGAACAGCACTATTCACAATAGCCAAGAGGCAGAAGCAACCCAAATATCCATCAATGGATGAATGGTGTGTGTGTGTGTGTATAAAATTTTGTATATATACAAAATGTGTTACTCCTGGGCAATGGAATACTACGCAACCTTAAAAAGGAAGGAAATCCTGTCACAGGCTACAACATGGATGAACCCTGAAAAATTTTGCTAAGTGAAATAAGGCAGTCACAAAAGGACAAATAGAGTACGATTCTACTTATGAGAGGTATCTAAAGAAGTCAATCTCATAGATCTACAAAGTAGAATGGTGGTTACCAGGATTTAGGGGAGAGGACAAAGAAGAAAAGTCGTCTTATGGGTACAGAGTTTCAGTTCAACAAAATGAAAAAGTTCTGGAGATCTATTTCACAATAATGCGAACATACTTAACACTACTGAACTGTACACTTGTTAAGACAGTAAATTTTATGATATATATATTTTTTACCACAATTTAAAAAAACCCACACATACACAAACAGAAAAGCCTCGAAAAAATGCAGCACCTCTGCATTGCTGAAACAGCACTATACCTGGTGTATCAATTAGATTGATTCTATACCCCTTCCAATCGAACGTAACAGCAGCTGACTGAATAGTTATGCCTCGTTCTCGCTCTTGAGCCATGAAATCTGTCACCGTGTCTCCGTCATCAACATCTAACCAGGAAAAAAATGACATAGTTAGGCTTAAAAGTATATTTTATAGGTCTTTGATATCTGCCTGACATAGTTTAAGAAAAACTGTTCATAAAATATTAAGTTTAATATTTAGAGCCCTTAATCATTCTCTAAATAAATCGTCATTCTAGAAAAAGATTTTTCAGATGAGTAATTTTTCCATAAAAATAATTTTTCTGTAATAACTAAGATTAAACTCTTTTACTATTTTAATTTTACTGAACCATATACGTCTTCCGTTTTTTTTTCTAGTTTAACTTTCATTATCCCGTCCTTATCTGATGTTCCTCACACCTGATCCCTTGACAGGAGGCAGAGTAATGCCCTAAGAGCAGACAGACCAAATTTAAATCCCAACTTTATCACTTCTCTACAATCTTGAGCAAGTTACTTAACCTAGTTTTTAAAATATGGCTAATAAAGCCAACCTTGCTGGATTCTTATAAGAATGAAATGAGACTATATATATAAAGTACCTAGCTCAGTAAATGGTAGCTACATGGAATAAGGTAGAGACAAAATTCCTCCAAAGTTAAATCATCTTTTACAAACCTTTCTCATTACTAAATTTTCCTTTTAGGATTTATTTATACAAACGTAAAGTCTCCTATAGTATAAAGTCATGGATAAAATTTATCCTGACTACCAAAAAGGTCACTCAAATTACTCTGCAGGGCTTCCCTGGTGGCGCAGTGGTTGAGAGTCCGCCTGCCGATGCAGGGGACACGGGTTCGTGCCCCGGTCCGGGAAGATCCCACATGCCGCGGAGCGGCTGGGCCCGTGAGCCATGGCCGCTGAGCCTGTGTTTCCGGAGCCTATGCTCTGCAACAGGAGAGGCCACACAGTGAGAGGCCCGTGTACCGCAAAAAAAAAAAAATTACTCTGCAGTAAAATTCTTGAGTTATGCATTTTACTCTTATTCAGTAAAAGAAATGACAAAGAGCTGATCTTTACCAATCAAAATTCAAGTTATCATGGCCTTATACTACCACTGCTTATGTCAGCATTAAACCTCTAAAATGCTAGCTAGTTACTCCATATCATTTTTGTGTGTGTATATGTGTGTATAAATATACATACACACACAAATGCACCAACAGAGGGGAAAACAGCAAGAAAAATGTATCTGTTAGCAACTCCAAATATCAGTGTTAAAGAACTGTAGCAGTATTGTCAGTTATTCACAATATAACTAAACGAGAAAACAAGCATCATTAAGAAGACAAAGACCAAATAACTAACCAGAGGTTCTAAATAAGGCAGTAAGTTTCTAAGACACTCAAAAAATAAAAATTTGCACAAAGATAAAGATCTTTATTTCCTATTATTATTATTATTTTTTAAATATAAATTATTTATTTATTTATTGGCTGTGTTGGGTATTCATAGCTGCGCGTGGGCTTTCTCTAGTTGCGGTGAGCGGGGGCTACTCTTCGTTGTGGTGCACAGACTTCTAATAGAAGTCCTCCTATTATTTCTTTATGATTACACATATGGCTAATAAAATCAACCTTGGATCAACAAATTCTGCCACAATTTGGATAGTTTCTAGGCCTCTGGCCTGAACCAGAAAAGAAACTCAAAACATATCTAGTTCATGTGTGTGTGTGTGTGTGTGTGTGTGTGTGTGTACATGTGTGTATATATATGTATCTAATATATTCCTAGAGTAGTCAGATTCATAGAAAAAGAAAGTATAAGGGTGGTTTCCAGGGGCTGGGCAGAGGGGGCAATGGGGAGTTGTTGTTCGATGGACATATAGTTTGCGCTTTACAAGATGAAAAAGTTCTGTAGAATAGTTGCAAACAATGTGAATATACTCAACACTACTGAACTGTACACTTAGAAATGGTTAAGATGGTAAATTTTATGTTATGTGTTTTTTTTACCACAATTAAAAAATAACTGTTTACTTGAAAATTGCCTGCGTCCACCTCATCTGGAACCTCGACTCAAGGATACACTCAGGGGGGCTTCCCTGGTGGCGCAGCGGCTGAGAGTCCGCCTGCCGATGCAGGGGACGCGGGTTCGTGCCCCGGTCCGGGAAGATCCCACATGCCGTGGAGGGGCTGGGCCCGTGAGCCATGGCCGCTGGGCCTGCGCGTCCGGAGCCTGTGCTCTGCAGCGGGAGAGGCCACAACAGTGAGAGGCCCGCGTACCTCAAAAAATAAAAATAAAAATAAATAAAAATAAAATAAAAAGGATACACTCAGGGAATATGAGGGAAGGATTCTAATCAGATTCGTGATACAAAAGAGGAAGCCTAACAATGTTCAGTGTTTTGCTGTCTGTTATTTCCCCGTTTACACAGCAATAAATTCTATGAGAAATTCATGTGCTTATACATTTAGGAACCTATCATCATGAAGATTCTAATCGTGAGTGGTTTTCTCCTCTATAAACATTAGGTCTCAGCCAATTCCAAGGGTCTAGAGAAATAGGTCTCAATAGAGCACATTTCAAAATCACTGAGGAGCTTTTGAAAAGGACATTAATTTCTACTTCTGGTATTCTGGACCTGACGACCTCCATGTCACATTTCAAAACAAACTGTTTCACCAGAGATAAAGAAAGGCACTTCATAATGATAAAAGGGTTGATTCATCAGAGAAATATAACAATCATAAGTGTGTGTGAGTCAAATACAAGTTTCAAAATACGTGATGCAAAAATACAGACATCCAGGCCATACCCAGACATGCTGAATCTTAGTTTTCAGAGTGGAGCTAGGACACTGTTATTTAAAAACAAAACAAAACAAAACAAAATCTTTAAAAGATACATGGGCATTAAATGTGCATGCCTGGTCAAGAACCACAGTTTTGGGACTTCCCTGGTGGTGCAGTGGTTAAGACCCCATGCTCCCAATGCAGGGGGCCTGGGTTCAAACCCTGGTCAGGGAACTAGATCCCACATGCATGCTGCAACTAAGAGTTTGCATGCCACAACTAAAGGAGCCGGTGAGCCGCAACTAAGGAGCCCTCAAGCTTCAACTAAGGAGCTCGTCTACCGCAACTAAGACCCAGCACAACCAAATAAATAATAAATAAAATTAAAAAAAAAAAGAACCACACTTTTTGACATACTATAATAAAAAAGTAAATTCAAAACTTAGGTAAATTATACTACTACTGGGGGTTAAGGATTAACGAACTCCTTTCTTGTTCTGCATGGGAATTTGACCTCTGGTTAACTTTCTGGCTCTCTTCTCCTAGAGCCCAGAAAACAAGTATGCCAACTGCATTGCTAGGCAACACACTTATGGAAAAAATAATTTCCGATTGGTAAACTACATCTGACATGGGAAGAATAAATAATGAATTATAAATACCTGCTGAAGAGACATAGCTTTAGGCTTCCCTGAGTGGGGTATGGCATGCCCCTTGTGGGAAACCAGGAAGATGACCCACGGAGCTGTAACAAGAGATGCTTGTTCCTATGGGGCATGAGTTTTCTAAGCTAGGGTGGCTCCTGTGAATCTTGTTACCTTGCAACTAAGCTACCGCTTTTGGGTGGCCAAAGAGGACAGTTCCCACACAGCTATGTGGACTGCTCTAAGAACTTCTATAGAAAGAAACATCTATTGCTGGTAAGCTATGTTTCCTGTCTCACAGCCTTCTGAGTAGACCAGTGCCAACTATAGCCCAAGATAGTATTGTGAGTCTGATTGTTTAATTGAACCTAAAAAGACCCTTTGGAGTACTGTAACTACCTTAACTTTATGCTGTGGTTTAGACAGCAGTGCCTCCATGCCATACTCAAGGTCTCTAGGTTGACTTCTTAATCAAAATATTTTCCATTGATGTTTTTTTCTAATGGGGGGGGCAGGGTGAGAGGAGGAATCCATTCTAACCTCCCAGTGATCTTGTGTATCCAGAATAATACAATATTCTTTCTGTGGTGGTAGTTTTTCCCGCATCAATATGAGCCATAATTCCAATATTACGGATTCTGTTTAAAAGGGGAAAAATTAAAAAAAGACGTGTATTATAAGGTGGACATTACTAAAATTGTAAAACCAAAATATCTATGCTGCACAAATTTCAAAGCTGGTTGGTATTTCAACAATTTATATAATGGTGTAAAAACTAGAAAAATGGAAAACATATCACTATCACATTACTCTGACAAAACAGCTAAGTAACAAAAGAGCTAACTACAATTTTGTGACTATCTTATATTTATTTCTATGAAAAGTGTGCTGTTGCTACATTAAAAATTTTTAGCATTGAATTGAGACAAGAAAATAGCTTTTAAGATACATACCAATATCTATTTATAGTTAATTAGCTAGGGCAGGAAGTTACAGAAATTAGAGCATTCACTAAATGCTGAATTAAGCCTGTGTGCAAAACCTGTAACTTTTCATGGCAGCCTATGGAAAAGACAATATCAATGACCGTACTTACTTAGCAATAGGAGGATTGATGATGGAATGAAGGGACTTGATATCATTTCCTATTAAACCTAATGGAAAGAGAGTTAAAATTGAACTGTTAAATTCAAAGAAAATTTCCTTTAATTTATAAATGAAAGAATTTTAAGCAAATAGTAAAATTACTATTAAAGTAAATCCAATTAAAGTAAAATTCAAGCTAAATATAACACTCATTTACCTAAAATTTATTTTCTTGCAATCTCTAAAAAAACCTGTGGATGACAATAAAACAAGATAAAGTTTTTAAACATCAATTTCTAGATTATATCCTTAGAAAAATATAGATTTACCCCAATCTCTGCCACCTGCTACAATTCTATAATAGAATTCTATAATAAATAGAATTTCAAAAGTAGAATGTTCATAACAATAATCTTCAGACACTAGTAGATCTTGAACCAAAAAAAAAAAAAAAAAAAAAAAGCACAGTCCTGTAAACCTGCATTGTCAAGGCTTGAAGAGCAAAGAGTGATACTCATATCAGCTGATAATGAGTTTTTGTACAGCTTGAAACCTACCTTCCCTCAGCAATTCCAAGGACATGATACCTATAAAGACAGCCTGGGAGGTATCACTGAATAGAAGCTATAATAATCTAATACTTGTAAAAGGCCAACTTGTAAAAACTAACAGTATTTCTGGAAAAAAAAAGTCCATAATGACTTACTCCATGCTTACCATTTATTCTATTAATACTAAAGAAACAATGAAGTTACATTTATAAATTTAATTTATACCTTCCTGCTATTTAAACCAGTTCTCCCAAATTTCTATAATAAATTATGATGACTTCTATTACATTTTGAAAAACTGATGGCAGTTTGAAGACTGAAAGATAATCTATACTGCTATAGATAAATTTGTACGGGCAAAATATAGAAACCCAGATATACACCAATAATGCAGAACATTAAATTCACATGCCTTTAACAAGTCACACAGCCAACTGGTATTTTTACTCCATTATTCTCACATGACAAAGATGGTAATGAGAACAGCTACAGAATGAAGCTACAGGTGACCCCTGAACAACACAGGTTTGAAGTGTGTGGGCCCACTTATCCAAGGGTCTTTTTCAATACATGCATGCTACAGTACACGATTTGCAGCTGGTTGAATCTGCACATGGAACTGCAGATGCAGTGGGCTGACTACAGTTATATGTGATTTTCAACTGTTTGAGGGGTCAGCACCTGTAACCCCCTCATTGTTCAAGGGTCAACGGTAGTTTCACTAAGTCTCCCACATGCTTGCTTACTTCAAACACAAGAAGCACATTCAGAATTACAGTACAATTGACCTTTGAACGACCTGAAGGTTAGAAGTGCCAACCGCTCTGCAGTCAAAAATCCAACTATAACTTCACAGCCTGCCCTGTGCACACATCGTTCCTCTGTATCCTCAGTTCTGCATGGGCAGATTCAACCAACCGTGGATCATGTAGTACTGCAGTACCCATTTAGTGAAAAAATTCTGCATATAAGTGGACTCTTACATGGTTGAACTTATATCGAAGTTCAAATCTGTGTTCAAGGGGCAACTGCAGCCAGTTCCTCAGCCTTCAGGCTTTTAATAGCCATATTACCTAACCTAATCTATCCCAGATAAATATTAAACCAAACTACTCTTAAGAACACTCAAAATAAATTATCCTGTTAAACCTCTATTAACAGAAAATACTTTTGTATAAAAACCAGAAATGAACTAGGAAAATCAACAGTTTACAGCAAGAGCACTCTACAAGTAGACTCACTGCTAAACCTCTGAGCCGACCCTTTCCTTTGCTCAGCTCATGAGGATGGACAGCAGATGAGGAACATAAGTCTACTGGTACTACCTCCTAGCATCTATCAGAATACTCCAACTCCTAATACTCTCAAGGAAAGAGCCAAGAAGTAAAAGGGAGCCACTGTTTTCAAAATGGTTGGAGACCCCTAATAAGGGAGAAGATTGCAAATGAGAGAGAAAGAGAGAGAGAGACAGAGAGAAAAGGGAGAAAGCAAGCAAGCAGTTTAAGTAAAATGAGAAGAATCTAACATTTGTACCTGGTAGGGAACTGTAATTTCTTCCAAGAAGCACATGTAGCCTTAATCTTTTTAGACTTGCCCTTATTTTTGAGGAACACATATTCTAGTGAGGAGAAAAAGAAACAACGTTAATTTTATTTTAGCATAACTCACTAATGTAGTTTTAACATCATAATTGTGCTTTGAATCTCCATATAGTAGTCTCAATTTATTAACTCCAATTCTTTTAAAAAGTGACAACACAAAATTACACTACAATAAAAAATAAGGATAAAATTAATACTGCTTGCTCTTTTGAGCTGACCTTAGATGATGGCTCTCCTAGACATGCAGCATTAGCATCACAGGGATCTTATTTGGAAGACAAATTCTCAGGACCCACTCCAGAGAAGAGAATCAGAAACTCTAGGGATAGCGTCCAACAATGTGTTTTAACAAGCCCTCCAGGTGATTCTGATAGCTGCCGTTTGAGAACGACCCTAAAGTTTCCAGAGAGCCAGAAAGGTTAAATAAGGTTGCTAACCCTGGATACCCCTTGGTTCTCCTTTAAGCCTATTAACAGCTGGTGGGAGTCATGAACTCTGAAACCATTAGGTGTTTTCACCTAGATTTATAACAGCGGCTACATATTAGAATCACCTGGAGAGCTTTTAAAAAGGAAGGGAAGCTGGAGGAACTATAGCATTTTTAAAAGCTCCCCAGGTATCTTCTCCTAATATTCCCACATAGAGGTTGAATGTTCTCCATCGATTTATCCCTGGACCACTAAATACACATTTAATGGCTGTCAATATATTTGGAATTGTAGTTAGTGTATGTAGTGATTTTGGGCTGCCACAATCTGCCTTTCATGATGTCACAGAATGCATACCTGTGCCTTCTGTATTATTTCTACATTAGTTACCAAGTTTCTGGCAATAAAACACTATTATTCTAAGCAAATATATTAAGAGTAGAGAAGAGACTCCAACTATTTAAATTTCTACTTCATAATGGCCAGGGTAAGACAGCATCACCTATCACAGGGTGTACAGTCTGAAAGCATCAGAAATGAAAACACTGAAGAAAAACTGTGCAACTCCTTGGGCTGCTAACGACCTCAAAAATGGAATACAGATAGTCTCAAAATGCTGCACAGGTGATTTTAAAGTAGCAAAATGAATTTATAGACTAATGATAAGGCATACTTCTTGTTGATTACAGGTTCCCCCATACCCCCTGTTAAGAAACTGTTGATATACTAGTATATGAGATACACTAGACCTTTGGGGAAGTCAAGTAACTGAAGCTGTTGAAGTACATTTAATTTTACAAGAAAAACTTACGTTAATGTGCAAGCTGGATATTTTCTTATGATTCACTGCAAATATCCTCAGATTGGACATCTTGGACCTCTAAGCTGTTATTCTCTGAAAAAGAAATATACAAAATTACAAAACTAAATTTATGTATTACATGTAAGACATATGTAAGTAAGGCAAATGTAATATATTAGGTAAAAATGTATTACTTTTAAAAAGTAGGAATAATATTTGTAGCTATCAAAAAGAAAATGTGCAATTCAGAAAATGAAAGCTCAAACTAAACATGAGAATATGGTCCCTTATTTTTTCAATATCCTTTAACTCTTCAAGAAAGATATGAAGAGGGACCTCCCTGGCGGTCCAGTGGTTAAGACTTCGCCTTCCAATGCAGGGGGTGCAGGTTCGATCCCTGGTTGGGGAGCTAAGATCCCACATGCCTCGAGGCCAAAAAACCAAACATAAAACAGAAGCAACATCTTAACAAATTCAATAAAGACTTTAAAAATGGTCCACATCAGGGCTTTCCTGGTGGCGCAGCGGTTGAAAGTCCACCTGCCAATGCAGGGGACACGGGTTCGTGCCCTGGTCCGGGAAGATCCCACATGCCGCGGAGCGGCTAGGCCTGCGAGTCATGGCCGCTGAGCCTGTTCTCTGCAACGGGAAAGGCCACAACAGTGAGAGGCCCACGTACCCAAAAAAAAAAAAAAAAAGGTCCACGTCAAAAAAACTTTAAAAAAGAAAAAAGAAAGATATGAAGATACTGTAGAAAAAGATATACTGAAATTACAAAAATATATCATACCAACCAAAAAGCACTTTTTTGTAAAAATAAAAAACAGAATTAAGTATAGAAAGGTAAGCATCTACATGTTAACTTGGTAATTTCTCACTGATAGTATAAGTTTTTGGTTTATTTGTATATTGATTTTCCTAATATATTGATTTACCATATTTGTATATTGATTTACCATAAATATGTAAATATGTATTTCTACCATGTAAAAAATATACAGAAGTAAATCCTCTTCTTCTATGATCACGGAAACTAAGCATCTTTAGTTTAAAAACGCTTACTAAATATTCACGATGCATCAAGTACACTGTCAAAGCTATGAGAAATGCATGGAAGTATATGAGACTGAGGAAGGTGGGCAACAAGTAAACAGAAAAGGTTAAACCACTGTGCACCATGTTATGTAAGAAGGCATGTCAAAACTTATTATTATTCCTCCTAAAACTGCTCCTTTCTGTATCTTAAGACAGAAACATTCACTACCCTTATTTAGGAAGTCTCACCAAGTCCTTTTATTTCCTAAATATATCTTGAATCTATTCCCCCTTCTTCATTTCCAATGCCAAAGTTCAGAATGTTTGCAAAATCATGCATGTTAGATCCATTCTAAAACAGAACAATGGATTCTACCATAACAGAATACAAAAAGCTCACTAATATGGTTTGATCCCACATTGCAACTAACCTTTAAGAAACCATCACTTGTCAAAACCTGGTATTACATCTAAGACGGTCCACAATTTTCTGAAAAGACTATTAAAATACTCCTCCTTTTCCCAACCACATATATGTATGCTGCTAGATTTTCTTCAGACACTTCAACCAAACATTTTACAAATATATATACAGTAACATAATAAATACAGAAGCAGATGTAAACTGTTTTCTGTTAAGCCAGGCATTAAAAAGACTTGCAAAATTGTAAAGCAATATAAAACACTCTTCAAACAAAATGATTTTTGTTTTTGAAAATATAGATATTTTTCATAAAAGTATATTATTACATTAATATTTAATGGTTTATTATTTTTAATGAATTATTAAAACATTTTAAAGATTTGTTTTCATTTCTGGTATTTGAATATCAATTACAACCCATACAAACAAAACTGTTCATTCGGACTCATTTTTAAGTGTGAAGGGTTCCTACAGACCAAAAATTTTTTAAACTTATTCCAGCACTGTGTTTCTTGAAGTGACTGCCCATGATTATTTTACGTTATAAGTAAAAAAAAACAAACAAAAAAACTGAACAAATGTTAGAAACAATAGCCAACAAAATCTGTGATCTTGTAGTGTTGCTTATGATGAAATTATTTACACAAAAGTGTGAATTTAAGGAAAAATATTAAGTAATTAATAGCACGGGTAATTCAGTTGTCAGTCTTAAAAAAGTAGTACTCAGATCACTTAAGTGGGAAACACTTCTTGAATCCATTCTTGACACATACCTTTCAAGTAAACAACCTCATCTTGTCAATTCCCTACTTAAAAACCTGTAAAGGTTCTTAATACAACAAATTCTGTCCCTAACTACCTTCACAGCCTTGTACTCTCTTACTCCCTACTCTATTCCAGGAGCTCTAGCCAAAATTCCTCTAAAACACTGCGCTCTAACACCTTTGCATGTAATGGTGCCACTGTCTGAAAGCAGTCCTCAAATTCCCAAAGCCACACACCTGGCAAATTTCTATTCAGTATTTAAGCCCCAACTTGGAAGCCTTTCTTAATCTCCTACAAAGTTTTAATACTACCTTGTCTGTGTTTTCATAACACTTGGAACTTATATTTACTCATGACAAATATGGTATTTCCACATTATCTCCACTACTGGGAGCTGCCCAAAAGGTGGGATTTTCTACCGGCAGCCTAGCACAATTCCTCAAACATTTTTTTGACCTATAAAGTCATTTAGGGCCCGCCACTGATTTTCTTCTTCCCCATGGCTCAATGATTTTCAACAAAAATGGTTTCCTACTGGTACTATCAAGTGAGTTATTCTACAAGGCCCAGACCTCCTTAGGCCTTGGACAACACATAAGTGTAACAAAGCAGGGCCCTCTGGGCCCTTCCCAGAACCGACTCCTCTCCCAAGTCCTCGGTCTGCCTCTTGTCTGTAGAAAAACTTTAGCCTCCTAGGGCTTCCCCAAGTTCCAAAGAATAAATTTAATAAGAGAAGTGAGAAAGTGCAGAAATAAAACAGTCAAACAAGACAAAATAATAATAGTTTAGCCATTAAACAAAGTCAAGGACCTTTAGTTCCTCCTAAAGGGCTACAGATAATATTCTGAGCCATGTCCTTTGAGTTATTTTGCAGATACTGAAACCCCCACCAGGTGGAAGAAGTTAACTATATGCTGCCCACAAGCATGTAGACCCCAGAACTGTTGGAACCAAAAGGTTGATGATGTTGACTCCCGACTATCTCACCACCAACCAGTCAGAAGAGTGTCCATGAGATGATCACACACCCCACAATCCCCCTCCCTCTCCCTATCTTTAAAACCTTTCCCTGAAAGCCTCTGGGGAGTTTGGGTCTTTTAGGCACTAGCTACCTAGACTCCTTGCTTAGTGCCCTGCAATAAGTGCTGCAGTTTCCTTCACCACAACCCGGTGTCAGTAGACTGGCTTTATTGCGCTCAGGCAAGTGGACTCAAGCCTGGTTTGGTAACATAAGTACTCACTAAAAACTGTGACACCTGATGGTATAAAAACGGCAAGTAATGAGAAAAAAATAGGTAAATACCCATTCTACATTATCAACAAGTTCACAACCAATAAACAAAAGAATCCATGGACTATTTTTTTTTTTAAATCAGCAGACTATCACGTCTTTAAGGCTTAATACACAAAAACAGGAATCACAGGACACTAAAGTACAATCACAACATACATTAGCATAAAAGCACAAATGAAGATGTTGCTGATGATAAAGTAATGTAGGAAAAGAGATTCTAAAGCATCAAGTTAAAATAGTGTTTTCATACGGTATTTGTTACTGTACTTAGTAATTTTTCCTAAATTAGAAACTTCAATTTAGATTTGTGTCATATTCACTGTTTCTTAAAAAAGTATCAAATATGAATTAGGCCAATATGTTCATTATTGATTAACATCAATCCCTAATGTCATCTTTGCTCTTTTTCTCTTTATATTGAATAGATCATCTCAAGCTATCTATCTAAACATTCATTTTCACTACAGAATTTATGTCACAAGTTCTAAAACAAGCTATTTATCTAAATTTTAAAAATTAGTTCTAGCCTTTAACTTCATTCAGGAAAAAAGCCTGGCAAATCAACTTTTACTCGCTAAAAAAAAATGCTCAGTAGTTAAAGATACTCTTAAATTTAAGTCACCTGGACTGAAAAAGCCCCTTCCAATTCCCTGTTCATCTAACATTCATTGGAGCAACACAAGGAGTTGATTATTGGAAACATGAAAATGAGTAACACATGATCCCTATCCTCAAGAAAAATATTAGGTTTAACAATCCTGCATATCACAATAACAAACATTTCATTCATAATACTTTCTGCATGGCTCTTACTACTGTACCTGTTCTTCCTCTTTAACACAAATAAGCTTCATTTTTTAACACCATGCAATTTATAAAGCAGCTCTCACATCTCCTGGCTTTTTCTTCTAAACTATACCAATAAATACTGTCAAAGTTTCATACAGATCGAAGGAATACATTTTTATGCTTCTGACTGCCAAAATGCAAAGACTGGGTATCTAGTATATACTTGTAGATGTACCAAAGTAGTGATGATACCCAACTTGGCTACTGCCAGTTACACAGGAAGAAATTTTTTAAGAGATCTTTTTGCTGACATTGATCAGTTTAGGCCATTTTTATCCCACCATCACAGCTGAAAGAACAAATGATAACCCACATAGCAATAACTTTGCCTTGTCTATTTCACACAAATCAAAATGTGACTATTGCTTAACCTCTAAAACATTTATTTTCTATTTCTGATTCAGAAGAGAAAAGGGCATTATGGCTTTGAGAGTTGTAAATGAAAAAACATGAGTTCACAATTTAAACAAACCTATTAAAAATTTCTATAAACTGACAGGAAACAGGGTAAATCTCACAATGTTAAGCAAAAGAAACCAACACAAAAAAGTTCATACTATATGATTCCATTATGTCAAGTTTAAAACAGGCAAAACTAATCCATTCTGTTAGAAGTCAGGATAGTGTGTACCCTTGGGAATGACAGTTACTAGGAAAAGGCACGAGGAGGGCTTCTCAGGTGTAGGTAATTTCTTGATTTGGGTGCTGCTTATACAGGTATATTCAGGTTTTGAAGAATCACTAAGAACGTTCATCTACAATATGCATTTTTCTGCCTGTCATAATTATTACAATCAATAAAGTCTTTTTAAAACTCTCCATAAACTTTTAATTATACCAGAAATGTCAAGTGGGCCCTTTACTTGTGGTGGAAAACGCCAGACTAGGCTTTACAGTCAGAGGACTTGCTGGAGCCCCAAGTTTTCTGTGATCTCTGACAAGTCACTTCAAATCTGAGCCTGTCGTTCCATCTATCACATCACAGGATCCACATGAGAAGTAAATTCAATTATCAACAAGAATTTATTTACTGTGTGTCTACCACTGCCTTCTAAGTAATGGGGTTAAAAATGGTGAAGAAAAAACCCAACAATCCCTTCCCTCATCCTGTCCCTATCCTAATCAGTGGATACAAACAATAAACAAAATAAATAAATAAAATACATAGCATCTCCTATGGTGACAGGTGCTACATCAAAGAATTAAGCAGGAAAGGGGAACTGGGGCAGTAGTAACTATAAAAAAGGAGCTCATGGAAGGTCTCAATAAAACAGTGACCTGAATCAGGTAAGGAAGGCAATACCAGGGGGAAGTGTATCCCAGGAAGAGAGATTACATAATTTACTATACTTGAAAATATACAAACGCTAGTTAGAATTAGTTCGGGTTTTAAAGGAAATAAGTCCCATTAGAAGATGAAGACTTAAAAAAAAAACTGCCTCAAATCCAAGCTCTAAGACTTAGGGAGACGAATAACAATGACGTTCCAGACCGTGAGGGTAATTAAGGGAACTTCAACGACCGTACATTAAAATGTAAAAACCGACAGCTTTCCTCGGTACCACTAGAGGACCACTAGATGCAAATCCACTCAGCACCGTCCTGGGCACCAAAAGGCCTCAGGGATTTCAGAAATTAGTCCGGAAAAACAGGACGTTGTCTTTCTTTTCTGACAGCTGTTAAGGCCCAGTAATTTACTTTCCTCTACAGTAAGTTTTCATTCCCCTGCATCCTTCTCAATTGTGTACACATTACACACGATGACAGGAATCAAGACCAGTCGCTCTCGCCAAAGGCGAGAGAGAAAGGCCCACACGTGGGCGGACACCGAGGTGATGGGGCGAAGGCCCTGCAGTCCTCGTGCTTGCCTAGCTGTAGCATCCTGTAAGGTCGCCAGTGGCCATCGTGGGCCTAGGCACGCAGGAGTCACACGGCGCGGCCCCGTACCCACCTGGCACTTGGTCGCATTCCGGAGGTCGGCTTTTTCCCGCCGGGCTGGTGAGAGCCGAGGTGCGGGCTGCACCCTACAGTGCAAAGGCCTCACTTCGCAACGCCCTACCTCAGAGAACACCCTACCCGTGAGCGGAACTTACGTCTTCTTCCCTCTGCCTCCGGCGACGCCGCTTTTCACCACTTCCGGCGGTGCCCCACTCAAAAGCCGCCGGCCAGCAACTTCCGTCCTTCTAGCTGAAAGTGGAGAACGGCGGCTCGGAACGGCTGTGTGGCGCTTTCTCTGGAGTCGGTCGAGTTACAAGCGTCCTTTTCCTGCCGCGGGTGCCTTGGAGTCGGCTCGTGGGTCTCTAAGACCAGAAAATTGAGAGCTTCTTTGCGCCCCGGCGGCTGCACCCGGTGGCTCGGCGGCCGTCACCATGGTGAGAAGGTCGCCTCGGGAGCTCGCCACTTAGGGCGTCAGAGGTGGCGGGGCCTGGGGGCCCAGGGGCGCTGGGGTTAGCGGTGAGGGCTGGTAGGCGGAAGTGAGGTGCGCTCCGAGGAGCGAAGACAACTTCAGTCTCGGGCCATAGAGTGGGGTATTTGCCCGAGCACAGGCTTTTAGAGCCAGACAGGTTTCACTCTGTTAAATTCCTGGCTTCGCCCAAAGTTGTGTGACCATCAGTGCCAGAGCCTAGTGATAACTCTATACCGTATAGAGTATAGAGGAAACCGAAGGTATGCCCTGCCACCGGCCAAGCAGCTAATGAATTGCAGAGCCGGGCTTATAGCCCAGATCTGACTGCCAGACCCTTTGTCTTTCTACTACATGTCTAATCTCTGTTTCTCTGCAAAGTGGCATTCCATATACCTTTTTCATGGTTGCTGCCAGGTGTATGTGATAGCAATTGAAAACACCACACAAGATACCTAGTACCTTGTTGAATGTTACATAGCATTATTCTCCGTGCTGGAGTTGGCTTTACACCGTTGTTTTATTTTTGTAGTCTTAAAGTACAAATAGACTGGGGCTGCGTGTTGAAATAAAACAATATTGGTATATAAGATAAAACAGGCACTTAAAAAGCGAAAGGGGATCCCATACATTGCTCATGAAACGCAAAATAGTACAGCCACCTTGAAAACAGTTGGGCATATGTCCACACAAAGACTTATATGCAAATGTTTACTCACTAAGAACTGGAAACAACCCAAATATCCATCAACTGGTAAACGAATAAACAAACGGTGGTATATCCATAAAATGACTACTTGTCAAAAGAAATGAAGTATGGATACGTGCAACAACATAGGAGAATCTCAAAAGCCTTATGCTAAGTGAAAGAAGCTAAATGCAAAAGGCTACATACTGTAGATTCCATTTACATTTCATTCTGGGAAAGGCAAAACTAGGACAATAGATATCAGATTGGAGATGGATAAAGAGGATTGACTTCAAAGGGGAACTTTCTGGGGTGTTGGAAATATCCTCAATTTTGATTGTGGTGGTTACAGAGCTGTGTAGCTTGTCAAAACTTACAACTCTATATCTACACCTAAGAAGGGCACACTTCATTGTATGTATGTAAATTATACTTCAATAAAACTGAGTAAAATGTTATTAAATTTTTAAAAAGTATGATGATGATATTGAAAGACCAGATTATCAATGTTCAGAAGAGAGAGATCCTAGAATTAAATCATCCCTTTTGTGGTCCAGTGGATTTTGGACAGTTCTCTTCAATGAACAGTAACTTTCACTGAGTTTATTACAGATGTAAATCCTGATGCCTCATATCATTCAGGATCAAAATTTATTTAACTTACATCATGTGATTAGGCTTAATAGTGCAAGAGTTATTTAATCAAGTGATCAGTGGATGACCTAGGACCTTCTATACTTTATATGCTACTCAAAAGAAAGTATTTTAGGGCTTCCCTGGTGGCGCAGTGGTTGAGAGTCCGCCTGCCGATGCAGGGGACACGGGTTCGTGCCCCGGTCTGGGAAGATCCCACGTGCCACCGAGCGGCTGAGCCGGTGAGCCATGGCCATTGGGCCTGCGCATCTGGAGCCTGTGCTCCACAACGGGAGAGGCCACAACAGTGAGAGGCCCGCGTACCGCAAAAAAAAAAAAAAAAAGTATTTTAGAATAATTCTGTCAGTGATTTTTTTAAAATTAAAGTAACACTTCTTGCGTCGTTATAGCCACAAAATGAATATATCGAGTTACACCGTAAGCGCTATGGATATCGTTTGGATTACCATGAGAAAAAGAGAAAGAAGGAAGGTCGAGAGGCTCATGAACGTTCAAAGAAGGCAAAAAAAATGATTGGTCTGAAAGCTAAGCTCTACCATAAACAGCGCCATGCTGAGAAAATACAAATGAAAAAGACGTAAGTGATCATTTATTTGTTGTACCAAGTTAGTATTTCGAGTAATAATTATTAAAACCAATAATCCTGAATCTTTTTCATTCTTGGTAGTATTAAGATGCATGAAAAAAGAAACACCAAACAGAAGAATGATGAAAAGACTCCACAAGGAGCAGTACCTGCATATCTACTGGACAGAGAGGGACAGTCTCGAGCTAAAGTACTTTCCAATATGATCAAACAAAAACGAAAAGAGAAAGCGGTAAGCAATAAAAATTGAAGTCTTTATTTTTGTTGCTGTTGTTCATGAGAATTATTTAAATACATATTTGAGGTTCTTAGTTTTGTTTCTTCAGTTAAATGGAAAAATGAAGTCCAACTATTCCCATTATTTAGATGTGGAAGTCTTTGTAAGTTTCATTTTATATAAAATGTTTAATAAAAAAATGTGCTTTCTCACCATGAGAACATTCAACAGGATTTAAAATTTTTTTTAGAATGCCATGTGTCTTTAGTTTTAAAAAATTATTTAAAACAGCTTCTTATACTTGACAACTCCTAATGTTGTGCTGTTGTGGAGAAGGATACAACTGCTTCTTGTTTTTGTTGCCCTGCAGTGCCAAAACTGGTTAAAAAGTAGAATAGTGGAAAGCATCCTAAGTGATTTGACTTAGATAAAAATAGAGCAATTAAAAAAAATAAATACTTCTGGGTTGCACTTGGTGTCAAATTAAGTTAAATTCTGCTAAAAGAAGAGAAAAAGAGATAGATACTATTTTTAAACACCTGTGGATAGATTGACAGAAATCTAGGTATCAGCAGAATATGCAGTATCTGCATTTAAGGAACTTAGTCTCCAGATTGGATTTTTAAAATCTTATTGCTTATTTTTTGATATGTAAGTATCAAAATTAGAATGGTAGAACTTTAGCACCAAAAGAAACTTCAGAGATTATCTGCTTAACCCCTCTTCATTTTACAGATGAAGAGACTGGAATCTAGGAGGTTGTAAATCACTCTTCACAGGCGCTTATCTGTGAAATGGTAGAGTTGCTTCTAGAACCTATGCCCTTAGTGATAGGTCCAGAATTTTTTCTACTGTCTTGCACTGCTTCCATTTTTTCATGGAATCTGCATTCTAGGGAGGTACAAAATATGGGGTGATGATTTCGTCTTACTAGTAAATGTAATCTAAAAATCCATTCAAGGTAGAAATACAAAGATATGTTAAGAGGTGGAGACGGTTTACAATAATCAGGACATGGAAGCAACCTAAGTGTCCATCAGCCGATGAATGGATAAAGAAGATGTGGCACATATATACAATGGAATATTGCTCAGCCATAAAAAGAAATGAAATTGAGTTATTTGTAGTGAGGTGGATGGGCATAGAGACTGTCATACAGAGTGAAGTAAGTCAGAAAGAGAAAAACAAATACCGTATGCTAACACATATATATGCAATCTAAAAAAAAAATTGGTTCTGAAGAACCTAGGGGCAGGACAGGAATAAAGATGCAGACGTGGAGAGTGGACTTGAGGACACAGGATGGGGGAGTGGTGGGCTGGGATGAGGTGAGAGAGTGGCACGGACATATATACGCTACCAAATGTATAATGGCTGGCTGGTGGGAAGCAGCTACATAGCACAGGGAGATCAGCTTGGTGCTTTGTGACCACCTAGAGGGGTGGGGTAGGGAGGGAGACACAAGAGGGAGGGGATATGGGGATGTGTATATACGTATGGCTGATTCACTTTGTTATACAGTAGAAGCTAATGCACCATTGTAGAGCAATTATACTCCAATAAAGATGTTAAAAACAAAAGGTGGAAACAGTCTTCCAGTTTTACCCTATTAACTATTTAGTAGTAAACTTAACTAGTTCCAATTAATTTCAGGAGACAGTGCAGATCTCTAGAAAAAAATTGAGCCAAAATGTTGGTTACACAAAAAAGTGAATCTACTACTTTGTACAACTAAAAAATATTTGACTTTTTATTCTCATTGTCTTTTACTAAGAATATAAATTTTAACTGTGGCCTGTTTTAGGGAAAATGGGAAGTCCCTCTGCCCAAAGTTCGTGCCCAGGGAGAAACAGAAGTATTAAAAGTTATTCGAACGGGAAAGAGAAAGAAGAAAGCCTGGAAGAGGATGGTTACTAAAGTTTGCTTTGTTGGAGATGGCTTTACTCGAAAACCACCTAAATATGAAAGATTCATTAGGCCAATGGTAAGACCCTGCTAGAGTGCAATGGCTTAAATATCATTTCCTATGTTAAACTGGATAAAGTACTTGACAGTTTCCTGAAATTCCTAAAACTGATAGAAAAGAACAGGTTGGAAGATGTTTTTAGGCTATTTTTGTTACTTTAAGTTACTGATGGAATTGGTTAGCACTCTTCCACTACTGTCAAGAACCTTGTCTTCAGCTTCATAGGATATTTGAGATGAAAAGGAAGTTTCATTACAGAGATTGTCAGTGACTCTTGACTTTTAAATATGACATATTAGAATCTTCATTTTCCACAGTCATTTTACTCCTTGAACAAGTGATCTACTATGTGCCTGACACTTGTCTTTGAGAACAGTTAGAGAATGAGTACAATTGTTTTTTCAAGAGTTAATTCCAGTTTAGTAAGGGAAGTATCTTAATGCTTTTGAAAATACTTAGTATGCAGTCATTGACAAAAGAGAATATTAAAATGGGACTTTAATTTCTGTTGACAGCAGTGATGGTCAAAACCAATCTCCTCTCCACCTCCCCAAATAAAATTGAAGATATATTTCTGCAGAATGTCTTTAAACAGAATGAATTAATCTGCCCACTGGATACCAGCCTGCTTACAAAAACAAAGAGGGGAAAGTTGGCAGTGTTACTCTAGCTCTCAACCTGAATAATTTTCAGTGAATTAAAATGTTGTCAAACAGCCTGCTTCTATAAAAAAAAAAGTTCTATTGGAACACAGCCGTGCCTGTTCATTTACATATTGTCTATGGCTATTTTTTTCTACAGAGTTTGAGGACAGTATTTGTAACAGAGACCATGTGGCCTGCAAAGCCTAAAATAAGAGCTTCACTGTATGGTTATTTACAGAAAATGTTCACCCATCCCTGGATTCCATCATGGACTCCCCTTATTTTGATTGTATATTCATAATCTTCTAAATACCTTTTGGTAATCTTAACAAGTTCTACAGGGAGAGAATATACTAGTCAAGGTGTTCTAGGCTTTCTATAGTTTGGCAGATATGTTTCTTATTGTGAATTAATCATATGGCATTCTGAATGTTATGTAAGCTTGACTAATGAGTCTGTTACTAAGAATTTGATTTACTGTCATTTGCCCCCTTCCCCCCATACAGGGAAAAATCAAATTTAAGAGATTGCAAAGTGTTGTGGCTTCTAAAGTGCCTTTACCCCAGAAGACCGTATCTAGGTGACTGGGTGAATCTGGTCTCTGTAACAGAGATCTCTCTGGGCTCTCTCCAGTTTTTGACTAGTATTAACCATCAACGTAAAGAAAGCTGACAATCTTTCATCATGGAAGGTGGCTGAAGTATACAGACTTGGAATCAAGATACTTAAGTTTGATTCCACCCTCACACTATTTAGCCTGGGAACAAGTTATTTAACCTGCTGATCCTTGTTTTTATCGTTTAAAAAAAAAATAGGGAGAGTTGTAAGGCTATCACGTTTAAATGGTGCTGTTTGTGAGCTCTAGCATAGTGCCTGGCATGTAGCAAGTCCTCAGGAAGTATAGGTAACTGGACAGGAGAAAATCTGAATATGATGCTAGGTAGCTGTTCCATGGTGAAAACTTTTCAGAAGTATGTGTTTGGGTTTTTCCCCCACATACTTTTCCTGTTAACTATGAGGTTTTTAGTCTGTAGAATTAATTCTAAGTATTTTCTTCGATGCCTTAAGATTAGACACTCAATCCTTTTGGGGCAGGGTGGGGAGATGATTGGAAAAGATAAGCAAAAAGGATCAATATTCATCATTAGCATTTTCGACTCAAAACACTGTGTTTGACTTACTAGGGATTACGTTTTAAGAAGGCCCACGTAACACATCCTGAACTGAAAGCCACCTTCTGCCTGCCGATACTTGGTGTGAAGAAGAATCCCTCATCCCCACTATATACAGCTTTGGGTGTTATTACCAAAGGTACTGTTATTGAAGTGAACGTGAGCGAGTTGGGCTTAGTGACACAAGGAGGCAAGGTCATTTGGGGTAAGTACAATTTTGAATATGGGGCTGCTAATGTTATAATCCTAAGATAGAAGTTTTTAAGTTGACATAAAGTATAGAGCAAATTTTAATGCAATTAAACTTGATGTGAATCAGATTTAAATCTTTAGGAAGAACACTGTAGAGAGTTATGAATGCAGTTCTTCTTTAGTTTACTGGTTTCAGTTACGTAAGGTTTACTACATTGCTAGATATTTTTTTGATGCTTTTTATTTAAAAAGATATGAGAAAAGCAGATGGGAAATTGTAACTGAAAAATATTGGAAGAAAATAAATTGCCCACAAATGGGGGAAGGGAGGCAGACAGCGAACACTGTAGCCATACTATTTCAGTAATAATTAAAGCCTGAAATATGTCATGCAACAATTTTAAATTTTTTCTTCATTTTCTTAGTTTTCTGCTTTCAGTACCCAGATATTTCTAAACTTTAATGTTCTTTGAAACATTAATGTTCTTTTAAACCGTATAGCTTCTTGACTGAATCTTCAGTATGAGTCACTGGCACATACTTCATGTTAGTTGACCTCAGTTGTTTGTTTTAAATAAATTTATTTTTGGGCTGCATTGGGTCTTTGTTGCTGCGGGCGGGCTTTCTCTAGTTGTGGTTAGCCGGGGCTACTCACTGCGGTGGCTTCTCCTATTGCGGAGCACGGGCTCCAGGCGCGCGGGCTTCGGTAGTTGGGGCACGTGGGATCAGCAGTTGTGGCGCACAGGCTTAGTTGCTCTGCGGCATGTGGGATCTTCCTGGGCCAGGGCTCGAACCCGTGTCCCTTGCATTGGTAGGCGAATCTCAACCACTGCGCCACCAGGTAAGTCCCTTGACCTCGGTTTTAAAATAGGTTAAATTGATTTGAAACTTAGTTAATACTTGATGCTTCTTCCCAGCAAGAATCGTGTGGAAAAGGAGCATTGCTCAGGTCAATCCATAAAGGCTTGTTAATATAACATAGTAACAGAATGAAGCTAGCCACCATTTATAAAAACAATATTTATATAAAAATTGTATGGAGAACTCAAGCTTGGTCTTGAGTGATTTCATTTTATAAAATCTCATTTATATACTATGGTCGTCCATTTTTTCTTTCTTAAAAGTGGTAATTGTAAATAATTTGGGCAAAGATTATATGTATTCTTTAAAGGTAATTTTTATTAGCTAACATCCCTCCTTTTTGTTTTGTTTTCCTTAGGAAAATATGCCCAGGTTACCAACAATCCTGAAAATGACGGATGCATAAATGCAGTCTTACTGGTTTGACAGCAGATACATACAAATAACTCCTTATAATTATTGAAGACTACACACCAATCAGGAAACCATTACTCTGGTATTTCTGAATACTGCCAATCAGCCTTACATGTCTGCAGTCATCAAGAAAACTATTTATTCTATTGTTTAAAAAAAAAAAGATTAAAATGGCCTAGTTTTACAAATTGGTCTTTTGCGTCTGTTTAGCGTTTAGATGTTCATCAATTTGCATGATTAAAAAATCAATTATAGAAATATCCTACTTCATCAGTATCTGTATTAATAAGTGGTACTAAGCAGTGTAGATCTGTCATTATTGGAAAAGCCAGTGCAGTCGAAAACACATTTTATCAAAGGTTTGTGCACACTTAACTGTGAGGAATAAGCCAAGAAACTTTTTGTCACATCTAAGACCTTACCTGAGGTCTCCTCCTCCTCACTGTAGATTATTAATCCTAAGAAATGTAGCATTAACACAGCATTTTAATGAAAATATAAAGTATATGAGAAGGCATACTACACTATAAAGTTCAAAAGAACTTAGGTAAAACTTTTTACTTCTAATTATTCCTATAGTAAGTCAGGGAATTAGTATTTTAAACATTTCCCCCCTCTCATTCATCATATATAATGCCATATACTTGGAACTGTATTTTCTACTCAAGATAGATACATGAAAAAAACACCAACCAAAATGTTTATACTTTTAGCATTTCCTGTATTCTAAAGTTAGGGTAGTGTATTTATATTTTTAAAGTGGTAAAAATTTAAGTAATTCCAGGTAAAATAGTTTTAAAAAGAAAAAGGCTGCACTGATGCCCTTAAAGAGAAATTTATTTGCAGTTACTTAGATAATATTAGAAAGGTCATGTTTTAGTCAAAAGCACATTTGTGATTTGAGTTATGTTTGTGACTTTGAGCTTTAGGGTGTCTATATATTATATTAATTTATAATCACATTGTTTTCAATTCTGTTTATTTTTTTTAAGTCTGTCTTGAAAGTACAACCAATGTGATTGTGCCTTAAACGAAATCAGTGTCTAAACAAATTCAATATCTAAACACATCTTCACCAATGAACTTAGGGGAAAGGGAAGGAATTTCAAAACACAGACCAGGAAACAATCACAAAATATAGGTTTAATTACTACTGTTAAAAATTAAAAAAAAAAAAATTAGGAAAAAAGAAACTACCAAGAAAACAAACGTAAGTACTTGAGTAAGTCTTGCTATTCTGAATAATGTAACATCTTTTCTAAATTGTATAAACACAGCAGAAGTTTTAGAACACACAGACACTAAGGAAAAGAAAGGCTAGTTCCTTGGGAATTACTATCCAGTATGATACAATTACTTCAGGATAACAGAAGCAGAACCTTCCTTACAATTAGATTTTAACAAATGATTTTGCCACTAATAGAAATGGGGAATGTGTGAATGACAAATTTTGGAGGGTGAAAGAAAAAAAATCTACTGAAGGTAAGCACTGGATACAGAACTGAGGTATGCTTATTTTTCACAACCAAAAATAAGCAAGTTAAACTATCTGTACAAATAAAGCTTGATACTAAGTATGCAAACAGAAGCATAAACATTTGTAACTAACCACACCCATGAAAGACTGGGTTAACACTTCAAACACGGTATTGCAACTAGTGGACATACAGGGCAGAAATTTCTAAAATACTGTTACACAGGTGAGTAATGTTAGTATAAATTCTTTATTTACATTAAAATCTGTTTCAGTTTGCTGGTGTGACCAAACCTTAGAAGGTAATCCCTAAGGGTGAGTCAGAATGTAAGAGCAGGTATTTAGATACCAGGTAAAGGCTCAATTCGAGGCAATCATAAACCGTCAAGATATTTTTCTAAAGTCACTGAAACCATTTTAGGTGGTGTTCTGGTGGTCAGCTAAAAGTGAACCATTAATCACTAGTAGTTTTTATCCTTGCCGTGATAATTTTCTGCACTGAATGGAAACACCATGAATAGAGACACAAGTAGAAGATTGACATTCTGTCATGCTATTTGATTTTATAAAAAATCATAATAGACCCTCTCACTGTTAAAAGTTGTAGAGGAACTTTATAATAAATTCTTAAATATATTTCTGTGATGTCTAGCAATTGAATAAACTTGAAAGAACTAAAATTTTTGCTAATAACTGCTTTATATTACACAAGGAAATATATACGTATTTACACAAACTGAACTGAACTCCCTTCTCCACAAATAAGACTTCTAAACAGAAAAAAGTTCACAAAGGACTATAGAATGTGACTGGACACTTAACAACTAGACTACCTGGTTGAAATCAGATTTCAGTCCTCTGTCATTCTCAGAGTTTTTCTAATGCCTTTTGCAAAAAGTACAAGTAATGTGATTAAGTTTTATTTAGATTCCTTATTGAGGATAAATTGTTATAAATTCTACACTCACTCACTGAGCATAGAACTCATTGTTACTGAACATGAAAGTTAGGTTTTTTTCATGTGACCTAACTTTCCTCTACCAACTATAAACTCCAAAATAACATTTTCTGTCAGAGATAATATGGACAAAAATTGTGTGCTGAGCAGAAAGTTTTGAAACTGCTTAAAATGCACCTACTGTTTAAACCAAACAAGTTTAACAAGTTTATACTACGAGTCCTTAGTGGTCATATAAATAAACATTTCTTTTTTGTAAACCTCAGCAACTATATATTCACACATCGAGTTGTCATCGAATTAAACTACACCTTTTTAAAGAAAGTATTTTAAAGAGAACAATGAAGAATCCAAGTAAAAAAGTAGGTGTTAGGTTTTTAAATTATTTTAAGAAATTAAAAATGGAAAGGTTAAGAATTTACTAAATCCTTATTTCCCTAATTGTGGTATTAACAAAAATTTCTCACAAAATGTATAAAACAGCATAAACATTCAACAGATAACACTAATATTAGTCATACTTATTCTTTCACTTGATTAGCATTTGTTGGGAAAACAAATGGCCAAAGTGCTTAATTTTCATTTAGAATGGAATAATCTGGCCTAACTGACCAATAATTAAAGAAAATAGTAGAGGATACAAGTATTCAAAGTTTTACACGAATAAGGAGGGTTTGCTATTTTGTCTGCTAAAGATTTTTACCTCAACTTTAAATTTTCCTAAAATGCCAACATCCCAAAATAAAATTTAGTATCATCTGACTGTAGACTGAATAAACCTTCAACATCAATCCTTAGCACCTCAAATAATGACACAAAGTCATAACATTTTTTTTTCATGTAAGGACCAAGCAGTTTTAAAAATGATCTAAATGGCCTCAAAGCATTCTCAAACTTACATGAAAATTTGAGTACACATAATACTTCCAAAGAGTAGGACTGTTTTAAGATTCTCTTTGGATTCTAAGGATAACCATTTTGTTCATTTTTAAATAAATTATTATACAAAAATAAACAATTGAGGATGTTCTTTGTTTTTAGTTTACCCAGGCAAAGGCAACCACAATGTACACACAGGCTAGATTATAACCTGTCCGCACAGAACAAATCAAGAGCGAGCAAGCCAAAAAGGACAAACGAAGCCTCCAATCTGATTTAAGCTCTTGTAACTATGGCTCCTAGAGCAGCTTATTCCTGCCATCTAGGTCTAAGACTGTGGGGCGCAGTTCCAAACCTACCAAAAATGGAAGGCAAGGGCATAAGCTGGCAGGCAGGCAAAAAGATCTTTTGACAGGAATCACTCCATGAGTTAGGGAAGTGGATGAAAGTGAGGGGAATATAATGAAGATTCTAGAATAAAGGCAGTGGCAGGATTAAGGAGAAGCCTTAGGAAGGGTTCTCACACTTCTAAAGTATACATGTTAACTGGGTGAGGACAAAAGTACAGTCCCCAGATTCAAATGAAATTTTAAATAATTATACGAGTGCCTACAGGCCAGAGTTAAATCCCTAGCAGTACTGTTAATATCAGATGTTATCAAGAGTGAACTGGAAACAGATTTTGTTTGTGCCTTTCCAGACATTGAAGTCAAAGGAAGAAATTGCACCTACAACTAAGAACTAAGAGGCCAAAATACCACCTTCATAAACCTTTGACCATAAATTTCCAAATTTGTGCTCTCATTTAGTTGAAGTTGCATTTATCCTAATTTACTGACATTTTTGTTTAAGCATGCCTACATTTTAAAAAATGGTGATTAGTTTTGAAATTTAAATCTTCTAGAACCTTCACCAAGATTACTATTAAAACCCTTAGTATAAAAGATTTCTGTGATCCTTACAATTGATGGAAGCCCTACTACTTTCATTTTTTAATTTATATTTTGTGAAATATTAATGGTCAGATATCCCCAATTGCTAAAGAAAATATAGTATGATCTGGTTTCCCAAAATCGAAACATGGTTAATAAAAATTAAAAAAATTGTATTTACACAAAATAGCCTGAAAAATTAAAAAGAACGGTGAATCCTAGGTCCTACAGGGGAGGGAAAAGCGGCATCATAAATAAGTTCAAATTGAAAATTTGGAGTTTTTATCCTGTGCCCCATGCTATTTATTAACTGCCATATTTTAAAAACAACGATTACGTTACAAAGAAGAGGATTTATCATCCACATTTCTTCCTCATTCAGGTCAGCTTGGCTTTCTTCTTCGCAGGTCCTTTGTGCCCTTTGGCCTTTCTTCTTAAATTCCGCCTGTCGACCACAGGCACTTCCACTTCTATCTCCTCTGAGCTGCTATCCACAGTCTTCTCTGTTGACTGTGTCAACTGATCCAGCTGCTCAGAAGATGCTTCAGACTGCTCCTCTGACTGGTTCTTCTGTCCTGCATTCTGTGAAAATGGCACATCTTCAAGTTCAACCTCTATTAAAGAGCTCTGAGGAAGAGCTGGAGATGTTTCCTGGGGCTCAGCTACCCCCTCCTCACCCTGGTCTTCCAATGAGGCAGTAGTGTTGGGTGATACATTTTCAGGAATCGATTCTTCAGAAAATTCAGTTATCACGGAGTTTGGAAAACCACTGTCGGACCGTTCTTCATTTGGGATAGTAGCTACATTGTCTGAACTCCCAAAATGTGCTTTCTTTCTTGAAACTAGAGGCAGCCTCTCTTCAGTGTGCCCCTTGTCATCAGATGGGCCTTCATCTAGCAACATTTCTGAGTCAGTTACATGTGAAGTCTAAAAACAAAAAACCCGGTGAACAACTTTTGCAATATAGTTCTTACATAAATTATTCTCAGACACTAATATGCAATGACCCTGAACCACATTTTAAAGAATTCAGTACTCACTACTTCTGTTAATCATGTGCACATGTTCTGAATACAGCTCAATTTCTTCGAAACTGTCTTACATGATAATTTGGATTCATTAAGTTCTTGCTTTAAAGATGCAATAAAAGTAATGATTTTACCCCGAAAAGTACTTAAGGCACAAACTTTATGTCAAGATTCTTCAAAACCATGAATCAACTCAGTTTTTAGTTTCCTGGTGTTACTGGAGCCAGAACCGAGAATCCTGGGACTTGACACTGTGCTACCCCACTGAGTTTGACTATTAGGTGAAAGGTGAGGGCAGCGAAAATTTTATTCATGTAATTATGTGAGACACTAATAAAATAATGCTATACAAGAGTTTTTTACCCTTAAATTGGAATATTCAAAAGTAGAAATTAAATTTCCTTTTCGATGTGGCACCTATATATACAATGGAATATTACTCAGCCATAAAAAAAGAATGAAATCTTGCCATTTGCAACAACATGGATGAACTTAGAGGGGATTATGCTTAGTGACATAAGTCAGACAGAGAAAGACAAAAACCATATGATCTCATTTATATGTGGAATCTAAAAAACAAAACAAAATGAAAACAGACTCAGATAAAAAGAACAAATGGGTGGCTGCCAGAACAGAGGGAGTGAGGGGACTGAAAGAGGTAGGGGATTAAGAGGTACAAACTTCCAGTTACAAAATAAACCACGGGGATGTAATATATAGCATAAGGAATATGGTCAACAATATTGTAATAACTTTATATAGGGAACAGATGGTTACTGGACTTACAGTGGTGATCATTTCATAATGTATGCAAAATCAAATCACTATGTACTACACATGAAACTAATATTGTACATCAACTATATTTCAATAAAGATAAATAATTAAATTTCTTTCAAAATATTCCATCAAGTTTTCCCCACTAATCTAATCTGTCTCCCTAATTAAAACAAATTAAAATGACAGTACTGGTCACAGACTATGTAAGTAATAGGTATTCAAATATTTGGTAAATAATGCTTTACCCATTTTTCTGAGCATTTCCTAAATCTACAAAGTGAAACTCATTTTGTCACCGTAAGTCAGACGAATGAAGTTACAAAGATTTGAATTTTAAAAAACACTACTGATTGCATCTTCTTAAAACACCCAATGTAGTAAAATTTATTTTTCCTGAAGGACTGTACATGTTAAAGTAGAGGAAGATATATATCCCGCACTGCCCTAGCCAAGTCACCAACACTGGACACTATAACTATAAAAAATTAGGATATTTCTCCATTACCTTATCCTGTGCAACAGCCTCAGGAGATTTTGAAGATTCTACCACCAGTGGAACAAGATTTGTAGAGTCTTCACTGGAATTAAAAGACTGCAATTTTAATTCTTCACCTAAAACTTCGCTAGTGGAGTCCTCCTCTTCTGTTATAAGTGAAGTCTTAAGAGTATCATCCATTATCTCACCATTCATAGGCTCTGATTCAGATTCCTACACCATCGAGGGGAAAAAAAGTCAGGACAAAATTACAGATTAACTTACTTGTCATACAAGGTGGGTCCATTCTCAGTCGCCCTGTCATGCACCAGGACTCAAGATACATTCTACCACGTTACAGGACACAGGTTAAGGAACAGCAGAGTCAGTAAGAGAAAAGAATCCATAAGTACCCCAATTTCCCTCTGTTCTCATGGAGAAAAGACAGGACCAGGATGCTCTATGGATCCAGTGTGGGTCTGAGATTCAGTGAAGAGACCCTGCCTCCTCCTTTCTCTTCCTCCATACAGGGCAGTGACAGGAAGAACCTTTTCAGTAAAAAGCCACCAGAGAATGTCTAGATTTGGTGCCAGCTCTTTACAGAACATCAGCTGCTAGGCACTTGGAATCCTTGGGGCCCCTGGGAAGTCACAGTTTAGCATGCAGGGGGAGGAAGCAGTAGCAGTCTTGTGGGAAGCTGAATTTGGGTACAGCTTCTTGCTGGGAGGAGAGAGCCCTCAGTCTTAGTGAGCTCATCCTTCTGTCAACAAAGGGTCATCTTTGAACAATGCTGCTCCTTAAATCACATTAAAATATGGAAAAGCGATTTGATAACACTAAGTCTCCAATTTCTGAAACTCCTCCTCCAAGGTTTATCAATTTACAAGATTTTCATTAACATCTAATATTTCTAATTAATCCTAATGACATTCTAATAATTAGAGATCATTTTATTTAATTATCATTTAAAAAATTAGAACACTGGGCTTCCCTGGTGGCGCAGTGGTGAAGAATCCGCCTGCCAATGCAAAGGACACGGGTTCTAGCCCTGGTCCGGGAGGATCCCACATGCTGTTGAGCGGCTAGGCCCGTGTGCCACAACTACTGAGCCTGCATGCTTAGAGCCCATGCTCCGCAGCAAGAGAAGCCGCTGTAATGAGAAGCCCATGCACCGCAACGAAGAGTAGCCCCCGCTCACCACAACTAGAGAAAGTCCACTAACAGCAACAAAGACCCAATGCAGCCAAAAATAAAATAAATTTAAAATAAATTAATTAAAAATAAAATAAAAATTAGAACACTGATGCACTCAAATTTTAAGAAATAGACTTGGCTGGATTATATAGAACCCCTGAAATCATATAATGAACGTTTTCCTAAGGGATACTGAAATCACAGACTTAAAAAAATTAATCTGGCCAGAGAGTATAAAGAATAAAGTACACACAGAAGGTAATTATAATAAAACTCACAAAAGGACCAACTACGGTAAGAGAAATGTTAAAAGGAAGAAAATGAGAAAGATATAGCAAAAATTTTTATAAAAAACCCCAGAATTTTGGTGAGTAACTACAAGTGAGAAGCAACAGAAGAGAAAAACTCAGTCCTTCAAGTTCTAGGTTTGGGAACAGAATGAAAAATAAGAAATAGGAAAAAAGGCTCAATAGAGAAGTGATAGGAAAGAACAGAGATGTTAAAATTTAAGATGATAAAAGACATCTGTCTAAACAGAAATATTCAGAAGGCAAGTAATACTGAAGTCTGGATCAATACTGAAAGTCTGGAGTTATTGGTCATCCCCACAGAGATGACCATTCAGCCATTAGACTAGATGCATTTTCAAAAGAGAAGCATGAACAAAAGAGCAGAAAGTCAAGAACTGAGTCTTCTAGAATGCCCACAAATACAGGGGAAAAAACAGGAAGCAGAAGAGTCAAAAAGCAAATAAATAAAACCAAAACAAAACTTCAGAGAGAGGAAAACCAAGAAACCAGAACACAACAGTGTTAAAGCCAGGGTACTAGAGAATCCGGAGGAAGAGAGAGTAGTCAACCTAGGTAAGGAAACCCACGAGAATTGAGTGAAAGTGTCACTGGTGACCTACAAGAGTAGGTACTCACATGTATTGGTGGGCAAAAGAAACAGGTTACATGAAGGATGTACAGTATAATCTTAAATTTAAAAAGAAAAACAACCACAAAAATATACATTCCCATAGACATCTAGAAGCATATAAATCCCTTTTTTAAAATATGTGTTTGTGGCTTCCCTGGTGGCGCAGTGGTTGAGAGTCTGCCTGCCGATGCAGGGGACGCAGGTTCGTGCCCCGGTCCAGGAAGATCCCACATGCCGCGGAGCGGCTGGGCCCGTGAGCCATGGCCGCTGAGCCTGCGCGTCCGGAGCCTGTGCTCCGCAACGGGAGAGGCCACAACAGTGAGAGGCCCGCACACCGCAAAAAAAAAAAAAAAAAAAAAAAAAAAGTGTTTGTTTCCCTAATTTTTACAAGAAGAGAAAAAATGTCATTTAAAAATACAATTTCATGAAGTAGAGGAAACAGGAGCTAAATTGGAGCAAGTTAATAAATAAAATCAGTAATGCAGTTTCACTTGCTTAGCTCCTGGCTGGACTTGACAAACAGGTAAAAGATTTTTAAAGAAACTTAAGTATGTTTCAAAGAAGAAATAAGGAATCTGTAAGACAGGAAAAGATTGAAGATATTAAAGAAAAAGAAGGATAGGAAATAGAGAAAATGAAAAAAGAAATGAAGCCAGATAAAGAGTTTTTTACTCAGTCACAAAGGATTTTCCTCCTTGTTTTCTAGTTGTAAAAAAAATGAATTTAGTTATTTTTCTAGGAATTTGTAAATCAACTGTAGTCAAATACATATGTTTTTTCTGGACAACTAATTCTATCCTTCTAACCAAAATAGGGGTGCAATTTAGGGCTTTTTGGACATTAAGGCGTTCTAACTGGTTTTATAAGGTAGACCTCTTATAGTCACATTTGTCACTTCTTAAGTACATTTAATTCTACAAATTAATTTGTATTTTAAATACACTGAGGGACATTACTAACTAAATATCCTCTATTTTATCTTTGCAATATGTCAAACTTTATAAACTCAGTTTGAAATATAAAATACTTGTAACTTTATCCTCTACTACTACCCGACCTTGCTTTAGACATATATGTTTTTTGTTTTTAATTTATTTTGGCTGTGTTGGGCCTTCGTTGCTGCACGCGGGCTTTCTCTAGTTGCAGCAAGCAGGGGCTACTCTTCATTGCAATGTGCAGGCTTCTCACTGCGATGGCTTCTCTTGTTGCAGAGCACCGGCTCTAGGCTCACGGGTTTCAGTAGTTGCAGCACATGGGCTCAGTAGTTGTGGCTCGCGGGCTCTAGAGCACAGGTTCAGTAGTGTGGCACATGGGCTTAGCTGCTCCGTGGCATGTGGGATATTCCTGGACCAGGGCTCGAACCCATGTCCCCCGCATTGGCAGGCGGATTCTTAACCACTGCGCCACCAGGGAAGTCCTGACATATATGCTTTTTACATTAAATACAATTTCTACTAAGAGTCTAAAATACATCGTTATGCTTTTCTAACAATATATGACTAAGAAAGTTAAATTTTACTTCCATTCATTTTATTTAATAAGTGAATCTCCTACCTTTTCACCTTCTTGCTTTTCCAGGCCTGGCTGGGTTTCTGGTGCTGGTCGAACATTTTTATCACTACTTTCATCCTCAAATTCAATCACACTCTGTTCAGGTTCTTCTTCCAAGAATTCTTCTGAGCTCTCTGATGTTCGTGCAGTAGACTCCAATCTACAAAACCAAAGAAAAACATTCTTGTTTTATTAAAGATGAATATAAAATTTCAGGAATCTGTTAATAAAGTAACACTTTAGAGAATCAACTAAGTGTTGTTCAGACAACAACTTCAAATTTTACAGGTCCAAAACCAACCTCTTCATCTTCTTACAAGTTTGTTCTCTTTCCTACCTTGTTCTCCAGTTTGATCACCACCTTTTCAATTATGTAAACTAGACCTTTCTTTTACTCTATCTATATTGATTGGATCTTACTCTCCTAGAATGAGCATACATCTCAGCTTACCTGGGACAGTCCAGTTTACAACTTTTGTCCCAGCACTGGCATAATTACGGGCATCCCTCATTTTATTGCACTTTGTTTTACTGCATTTTGAAGATATTATGTTTTTACTAATTGAAGGTTTGTGGCAATCCTGTGCTAAGCAAGTCCACTGAAGCCATTTTTCCAACAGTATTTGCTCACTTCATGTCTGTGTCACGTTTTGGTAATTCCCACAATACTTTGAACTTTTTTTGTTATTATTATATTTGTTACAGTGATCTGTGATTAGTGATGGTTGATGTTACAATTTTAATTGTTTCCAGGTGCCACAGGTTACACATATGACAAACTTTTTTTGTAATGAATTTTTTTGTTGGAGTATAGTTTACTTACAATGTAACGTTAGTTTCTGCTGTATAGAAAAGTGAATTGGTTATACATATACCTATGTCCAGTCTTAAGATAGCAAACTTAACTAATAAATGTTGTGTGTGTTCTGACTATTGAAACTGATTGGCCATTCCCCATCTCTCTCCCTCTCTTTGGGCCTCCCTATTCCCTGTGACACAACAATACTGAAATTAGGCCAATTAATAACCCTGCAATGGCTCTAAGCTAATAGCTAATGCTGATGTAGAAGCTGTATCAAGTTATCCAGAAGATCTAGCTAAGATAATGAATGAAGGTGGCTACACTAAACAACAGATTTTCAATGCAGACAAAAAACCCTATTGGAACAAGATGTCATCTAGGACTTTCAGGGCTAGAGAAGAGAAGTCAATTCCTGGCTTAAACTTTCAAAGGACATCCAAAATATATAAACAGCTCATGAAGCTCAATATTAAAAAAAACAAACAACCCAATCAAAAAATGGGCAGAAGACCTAAATAGACATTTCTTCAAAGAAGACATACAGATGGCCAAGAGGCACATGAAAAGCTGCTCATGTGCTCACTAATTATTAGAGAAATGCAAATCAAAACTACAATGAGGTAGCACCTCACACCAGTTAGAATGGGCATCATCAGAAAATCTACAAGCAACAAATGCTGGAGAGGGTGTGGAGAAAAGGGAACCCTCTTGCACTGTTGGTGGGAATGTAAATTGATACAGCCACTATGGAGAACAGTATGGAGGTTCCTTAAAAAACTAAAAACTGAATTACCATATGAACCAGCAATCCCACTACTGGGCATATACCCAGAGAAAACCATAATTCAAAAAGACACATGTGCCCCAATGTTCATTGCAGCACTATTTACAATAGCCAGGACATGGAAGCAACCTAAATGCCCATCAACAGATGAATGGATAAAGAAGATGTGGTACATATACACAATGAAAGATTACTCAGCCATAAAAAGGAACGAAACTGGGTCATTTGTAGAGACGTGGATGGATCTAGAGACTGTCATACAGAGTGTAGTAAGTCAGAAAAAGAAAAACAAGTATCGTATATTAACGCATGTTTGTGGAATCTAGAAAAATGGTACAGAGGAACCAGTTTGCAAGTCAGAAATAGAGACACAGATGTAGAGTACAAACGTGTGGACACCAAGGGGGGGAAGCGGGGGTGGGGGGGGCAGGGGGGGATGAATTGGGTGATTGGGATTGACATGTATACACTGATGTGTATAAAATGGATGACTAATAAGAACCTGCTGTATATAAATAAATAAATAAATGTAGCACAGCCACAGATGTATCCACCCACTTTAAAAAAAAAAAGTTTCAAAGGACAAGCTGACTCTCTTGCTAGGCACTAATGCAGCTGGTGACCTGAAGTTGAAGCCAGTGCTCATTTACCATTCTGAAAATCCTAGGGCCCTTAAGAATTATGCTAAATCTACTCCATTGTCCTCCATAGATGGAACAACAAAGCCTGGATGACAGCACACCTGTTGACAACGTAGTTTACTGAATATTTTAAGTCCATTGTTAAGATCTATTGCTCAGGAAAAAAAAATTTCTTTCAAAATGTGACTGCTCATTGACAATGTACCTGGTCACCCAAGAGCTCTGATAGAGATGTACAATGAAATTCATGTTGTTTTCATACCTGCTAACACACCATCCATTCTGCAGCCCATGGATCAAGGAAGCATTTCAACTTTGAAGTCTTATTATTTAAGAATTATAGTTCATAAGGCTATAGTTGCCACAGATAGATTCCTCTGATGGATCTGGGCAAAGTCAATTGAAAACCTTCTGAAAAAGATTACCCATTCTAGATGCCAATATGAACATTCACGATTCATGGGAAGAGGTCAAATATCAACATCACCAGGAGTTTGGAAGAAGTTGATTCAAACCCTCATGGATGACTTTGAGGGGTTCAAGACTTCAGTGGAGGAGGTCACTGAAGATGTGGTAGAAATAGCAAGAGAATCAGAATTAGAAGTGGAGCCTGAAGATGTGACTGAATTGCTGCAATCTCAAGATAAAACTTTAATGGATGAGGAGTTGCTTATTGTGTATGAGCAAAGAGAGTGATTTCTTGAGATGGAATCCACTCCTGCTGAAAATGCTGTGAAGATTGTTGAAATGACAAAGGATTTAGACTATGACATAAACTTAGTAGACGAAGCCACATCAGGGTTTGAGAGGATTGACTCCAATTTTGAAAGAATTTCTACTGTGGGTAAAATGCTATCAAACGGCATCGCATGCTACAGAGAAATCGTTAGTGAAAGGAAGAAGTCAGCCAATCTATGTGGCAAAGTTCATGGCTGTCTTATTTAAGAAATGGCCACAGTCACCCCAACCTTCAGCAATCACCACCCTGATCAGTCATCAGCCACCAACATTGAGGTGAGACCCTCCACCAGCAAAAAGATTACGACTCATTGAAGGCTCAGATGACAGCATTTTTTTTAAACCAATAAAGTATTCTTAAATTAAGGTATGTACTTTTTTTTTTAAACATAATGCTATCGCACACTTAACAGACTACAGGATAGTGTAAAAAACTTTTATGTGCACTAGCAAACCAAAATACTTGATTTATTGTGATGGTCACTTTATTGCGGTAGTCTGGAACTGAACCTACATCTCTGAGGTATGTGTGTATTAATAATGCCCCTTTCATTCTCAAAAATTTCAGTTTGGACAATAAACGACATAGTTTAGTTCTACCTGTGAAATGCCTTTCAAACAAATACGTAACTTTATTCCCATTCTCATCCTCCTACTTCAGGCCCAATTCTCTCTGGACACTGTAACTTCTTCCCAACTCATGTTCAGACTTGCAATATATACATTCTTTAGTAAGGTTTTCAGAACTATGTTTCTTTTTTTTTTTTTTGCCTGCATCCATGGCATGCAAGATCTTAGTTCCCCGAAGAGGGATCAAACCCAGGCCCCCTGAAGTCGAAGCGCAGGGTCTTAACCACTGGACCGCCCAGTAAGTCACCAGAGTTTGTTTCTAATACACATATTTGTACCAGTGACAGTCCAGCTCAGAAAATTCTGATGGTTCTCTATGGCTTGGAGAATAAAGCATACCTCCTTTCAAAGCCTAACATGACCAGACCCTTATATTTTTACCTCCTACTCGATGCTACCATTTACCTATACATCAGTTTTCCTTACCAACACTCCTCCCAGCTTTGTGCCTTTGCTCATGTTACTCCTGCAGTCTAGAACTGCACAGTGCAATACAGTAGCCACGAGACACTTGTCATTATTTACAGTAATTAAAACTGAGTGAAATTAAAAACTCAGCTCCTCAGTTGCACTAGCCATACTTCAAGTGCTCGGTGATGAGCAAACTGAGTAGTGGCTGCCATGCTGGACAGGGAAGGGCAGACAAAGAACATGTCCACCATGACAGAAGGTTCTTTGAACAGCCCTGGTGTAGACCAGGAGTCAGCAAACTTTTCCTTTAGGTTTTGTGAGCCATATGGTCTCTGAACAGCTACTCAACTCCACCAGGGTAAAGCAAAAGCAACCATAATAAAAATGTGAACTAATAAGCACAGATGTGTTACAATAAAATTTTATTTACAACAATAGGTGGTGGGCCAGATGTGGCCTATAGAACATAGTTTGTAGACCCTCGAACTAGAAAAGAAAGTCTTCTTTCCCAACTCTGCTTGTTGAGTTTCTACTTATCTTTGAAGCCCTGGCACAAATGTCAAATTTCTCTATCCCCTCAATTAGAATCAATCACACCCTCCTTTGCAACCATAGCACTTTGCACTTCTATTATTATATCACAATCCACCTTGCAGTGCTCTTAACCTGTGTCACAGGTACAGATATGTATTAGAAACTTACAGACAGTCGATTCTTCAAGGGCAAAGATGAAGTTTTGTTCTTCATAGTGTCTGAGCACTTAAGCATTTAGTCTCACTGTTACTATTTTATGAAAAGCAAAAAAAATTCCACAATAATTCTGAGATGTTCAATTTAAAATTTACTGTTACATTCCCTTCTAAAAAGGGTATTACAACAAAATGTTGCTCAGTGAAAAAAACTATAATTATCTAAACTCATTACTTTTCACAAATTAAATATTTACTTAAATTTGACTTTAAAGTGATAAATTTTTAATTAAAATATAACATTTACATAATTATCCAAATTTAAAGTTACATACATAATGAAATTGGCAGAGTTACAGAATTCTCTACCTGAGTAGAATAATTTCACAACTAAAATGGCAACACTATGAATGGTTGACTCAGGAACAGTTAGCAGGACTATCAGAGCAAAAGCTTAATTTAACTATAATATTGAAAATCTTGCTTTCTTTAAGATTCAAAGGAAGATGGAGAATAAGGTTTTGATCCAAGTGTTCTGTTGATTCAGCTGGCTATTAAGTTTCTGGAGGAGTTGACAATACCATTTATGGCTATCACTAATTTGTTATATTCTATAACCCAGTAAAATGAATTAGTTATAAAGTAAAATTGAGGGTTTTTTAAATTGACTAAACCTCAGCACTCCTAAAAACCATAGCTACTGTCAAATTCAAAGTTGACAATAATGACTCATCTGGGATAATATAATCACTAGAATATTCTCCTGGATTTTCACACAAGAGACTAAATCGTGAGTTTATTCCACTCTCTTACTAGCAACTTCTCCCTATACCACTGTCAAAGTGACACTTACCAAGTGTAATCAATAATCTTGTGGAAGAACTCAAATACAAAGTTCTACACCAAGGTCATTTACTACACAAACAATAAACTTCACCTTTAAAACGAAATACTAATAATATGAAAATAAGAATAAACAAAATAACGAGAGTAAAATAAACAATACTTCACTTGTTCACTGAAGCTGTAGGTGAAGTCTGGGGAGTCTTTTCGTCTTCCCCTTGAGAACTACTAAATTCAGAATCCTGAAACCGTTTTCCAATCTTTGGCCGCTTTAGATGACTACTTCGAGTACGAGTGGAAACAGGTGTTTTACCGTGACCTGAGGAAAAAATGGCAAAACTATAATTGATTATGTATTCAAAGGATTACCTATTAAAATACACAGAAATGAAAAAAAATACACAGAAATGCAAGAACTACGCTAGTTTACCTAAATCCCCAACATTACACACTTCCTCTCTGTCACTTCAGGTTAAGAAACCATGTCAGTGTTTTTTTCTAAACTATGAAATAGCCTTGTCAGTATTCATTCCTCACATTTCTGTGTCACCTTGAGTTTTTGCAAAGTGTTTCTGCATTTTCACTTAGACCCTCTTCCAATAATCTTAGGAAATGAACAAGGTACACATTACTGTCCCTATTTTACAGGTAAGGAAATGAAAACAAAAAAAGGCAAAATAGCTTACCTAAGTGTTTACACAGCAAAATCAGTGGTAAAAGAACCCAGATCTAGATTTTAGGGCTGGAGAAGTCTTCACTTTACTCTAAGGGACACACCCACACAGACACAGACACACACTTAATTCTAACTCTCTCAAACACTTACTAATAGACCAGCTGAATTTCTTACCTTCAGAAGTACTTGCAAAGGCATCTTTTAGAGAATCAATCTAAAACAGAGATACAGATTAAAACCACAAGTTTTAGATCCTTTCTTCTCCCTATGGATCTACTTCATACAGTTACAAAGAAAATCTTTTTAAAAGTTTTTCAAATAGCACCCTTTTGTACTCACTATTCATCAACTAAGAAATTCACTTAGGAAGTAAAAAAGCTATATTATAGCTTCAGCTATATTATGAGCTTAAGAACTCAGGAAGCCATCTAATATGCTATAGTGATATACACGGGGTTTCTGAATGTTCTGTTCTTGGCTCTCTTCTCTTCTCAGTCCTCATCCTCCTTCTATGTAACTGTATCTACTATCTTTACTTCAACAGCTATTTGCTGATGAATCCAAATATACAATTTAATCTCCCCAACTTTTTTCCTGATTTCCAAATGATGAATCCAGGTATACAATTTAATCTCCCCAACTCTCGCCCCGATTTTCAAAGCTCTATTTCCAGTGAAATCTCTCTCCAGCGGATACTCCACCAATTTCACATCCAACTTGTCCCAAACTGAAATCTTACATTTTCCCAATATTATCCTCTATCTTGGTTAATGGCAATAACAGTTCAGTATGCCATTCCAACCAAAATCCTCTGAGGCAGTAATGCCTTCTTCTTGTCCCTCATTCAATCAACCACAAAGCCTGTCAATTTTGACTCTGAAGAATCTCTCAAAACTGCCCCCTCTTTTGTACTACCAATGCTTTAATTCAAGCATTTATCATCTTTATCATGAAGGTGTACACCTTATATATGTACAATTTTTGTCAATTATACCTCAATAAAGCTAAAAAAAATTATGTAGTTAAAATAAACAAACAAAACCACTTCCCCATGTGGCTACCGATTTAAAAAAAAGATAAAAAAACAGTTTAATATGAGAAATATTTTCCTTGAATGAATTAAAATATTAAAGGAATATAAGGAATATGAATTTCTAAAATGAAAAAAAGTCTAATTTATATTGCCAACCTTATAATATGGTGAAATCTTAGTATGTTCTCATTAAAATGACACATTTTAAACTATATGGCTTAAGATAAAAGTAGATCACTGCTCTCACCACATGTATGAGAAGAGTAGATTTTTCTACTTTCCCTGGTCTTATGATATCTGACCAGGACTAAAATGAATCTGAATATATCTGAGGAATTTGGAATGCAGTATAATAGAACTGGGGCTTATTCTGAAGTCTGAAATTCCAAAGGTAGAAAAAAAAAAACAACTGAACTCCTTATATATAGTTACTGTATCAATATTATTTATATTATCCTTAAAAATGTTTTAAAAAACTTTTACTCAAAATAGTCAACGCTCATGCTAACTAAGACAGGAGAAAAGAGGCATAAATAGGGCTTCCCTGGTGGCGCAGTGGTTCAGAGTCCGCCTGCCGATGCAGGGGACACGGGTTCGTGCCCCGGTCCGGGAAGATCCCACATGCCGTGGAGCGGCTAGGCCCGTGAGCCATGGCCGCCGAGCCTGCGCATCCGGAGCCTGTGCTCCGCAACGGGAGAGGTCACAACAGTGAGAGGCCCACGTACCAAAAAAAAAAAAAAAAAAGGGCACAAATAATTCCCCAAAGCACTGTGTCTCTGAAATGTACATGCATTTACATAGACATAGTCAACACTCACTAAAAATATATTCAGATACCCGTGTACAAAACAAATATGACTGTATTAAATGCCACCACAACAAAACAATGCATAAAAATAGACCTCTAGGACCCCATCAATGAACCTGTATTTTAAATAATATCAAGTAGTTTCTAGAAAAGTACCTGGTAAATCCTCTGGAATTCAGTAATGGGACCTGCCCTTCTACTTTCACGTTACCTAGTATTTGCAAAGTATATTACATTCTACAAAGACCTAACACATATAGCCACAGACTTCCCAAAATAACTTCATAACCTTTGACCTACTACTAATTCCACTTCTAGAAATTTATCTGTGCAAGGAAATAATTACATTTGCTCAAAGATTCATGTATAAATGCATTCATGCCTGGGTCGCTTATAAATATAAAAAACTTAAGTATAAATGTTAAGGAAACAAATGCTGATATTTATATATAATAGAATAGTGTACTATTTAACAACGATTTAAAACAGTAATGACATAGAAAATGCTTACAATATTATGTTAATGGAGAAAAGCAGTTAGAAGCAGCATAAAAGAATAAAAACAAAAATGAAATATGCAGATACATGTTTCATAATATATATTAAGTACATATACAAAAATGTTAGTTGCTACATCTAAGGTAATGGAATTATAGCTTTTTATTTTCTTCTATATTATTTTGTGTATTCCAAATTATTTTTCAAAGAAAATTAAATCTTAGAAACCAACTAACATAAAATGCCAAGTAACTAACACAACAGAAGTTACATAAGTCTGTTGAATGAACAATAACATTAAAAAAGTTAAATATTAGTATTAGCTGAACCTCTTTTCTAAAAACAGCAAAATTATTATTTCCTACAGTAAACAACAGTGTACCTACCGTTAGCTGCATCTCACTAGACAGACTGTCTTCAGCTCCTGCTTCATAGTCTGGAACAGATCCAAGACCGTATTCTCCAGACACAGGTCTTTTAGCTTCATTTTGAGAAACTGCTGTGTGTAAAAGAAGTTTTTAAATTGTAAACCAGTTAGTGTCTGCTTTTAATTGTAACACTCTTTGTACTGATTTTTACAAAGCCCTAAAGAAGGGTGTTGAAAATCCAAGTGTGGGATATCCCCTTCACCAATATCTTATAATGAAGCCTTGCAATTGTAAAGAGTCTTAAACAGTTATCTGTATGTAGTGACTTCAAGGGGAGATGCATGAAACTGGGTACTACCTTTGATCCACTGATGCCTACTCTATGCTGTTTGAGTAAACTGTGTTTATTTCTTATCCACCAATTCCCACTGGAAAAAAGTAGGCTACGTTCTACTGGACTACTCTAGGTCCTCTGACTATTAGTGACTCAAATGTTTACATATAACAAAAATTCAAAGTTTAGAAAAGGAGGTCTGTTACTAGAGAGAACACATTACAATGCACCACTATTCTGGACTATAAGACACAACCATAATTAGGCACTGCTTTTTTAAGCTGGACTTGTGTTCAAACTGAAAACATTCTTACCTGTAATTTTAAATGTTTCTCTTTGTAATGCTCTGGTGATTGGTATTCTCTGGTACCAGTGTCCAACACCTTCAACTTCCCAAAGCAATTCATGGTCTCCTGGATATTTTTCAAAGTACTGGTTGCAAGCTGAAAAGCACATTGAAAGTTTTCTAGAAATCCCCGAAATCAAATGTTTGGGCAAACAGAAGATGGAAAGTAAGCTGTCCAAGTCACTTAATGGGGCTAGCATAACTTTGATACCAAAAACACCAAGGAAACTCAAGAAAATTATACAGCAGTCTCATTTATGAATAAACAAAGATAAAGATGATAAACCTCACCAGTTGTGAAGGAAATATAAGATGAAACAGCAGGATTCCATTTTCACACCCATCAGATAATAACAAGCATCAGAAAAATAAGGGAAATGGAAACTCCCACACTGCTGGTGTGAGAACAATTTTAAAGTGCTTAGGCAAGTTGAAGAAAAATATTTTATGATCCAATTCTACTTCTAGGTATACACTGTAATGACTTATACATATGCAGAAGAAGGCATCTATAATGATCATTACAGGACTGTTTTAGGCAGTACAACCTCGGTGCCCATCATTAGGGGATATATGAATAAATTATGTATACAATAAAATACTATACAGCAACTACAACCAATAAACTACAGCTACATATAATTAACGTTGATAAATCTAAAAAAAAAGTCAGTAAAAAAACAAGTCAATATTACCTACAAAAGGATGTCATTTTATAAGTTTAAAAACACATTAAACAAAATGATGCAGCATCTAAAAAAAAACAAAATAATGCCATTTACAGTGACATGGATGGACCTAGAGATTGTTATACCGAGTGAAGTAAAACAGAGAAAGACATCATATGATACCGCTTATATGTGGAATCTCAAAAAAGGTACAAATGAACTTATTTACAGAACAGAAATAGAGTCACAGATGTAGATAACAAACTTATGTTACCAAGGGGGAAAGGGGTGGGGGGTCGGATAAACTGGGAGACTGGGTAGTGTACACTACTATATATAAAATAGATAATAAGAACATACTGTATAGCACAGGAAACTCTACTCAGTACTCTGTAATGACCTAAATGGGGAAAACAATCTAAAAAAGAGTGGGTATATGTATAACTGACTCACTTTGCTGTACAGCAGAAATGAACACAATATTGTAAATCAACTATACTCCAATAAAAATTAATTTTAAAAATAATAAAATAATTTAAAAAATGATACAGCCTCTGTGGAAAATGGTCTGACAATTCTTCAAAAAGTTAAACATAGAATAATAACCCAGCAATTCCACTCTTAGGTTTATATCCAAAAGAACTGGAAGCAGGGACTCAGATATCTGCACACCCATGTCCACAGCACCATTATTCACAGAAACACAGAAAGGTAGAAACAATCCAAGCATCCATCAATAGATAAATGGATAAACGAAATGTCACATATTCACACAATAAAAATCTACTCAGCCATAAGAAGGAATGAAATTTTGATATATGCTACAAAAAGGATGGAACTTACACATTATGCTGTGTGAAATAAGGCACAGAAGGGCAAATATTGTATGAATCCACTTATGTGAGGTACCTAGAATAAGCAAATTCATGACAGACAGCAGAAAAGAAGTTAGAGAATGAGGGGAGAGGAGAAGGGGGATTATTGTTTGAAGGGGACAGAGTTTAGATTGGGGATGATGGAAAAAGTTTTGGGTATAGACAGTGATGATGGGGACACAGTATTGGGAATGTAGTTAATGCCACTGAATTGTACCCCTACAAACGGTTAAAATGATAAATATTATGTTATGTATATTTTATGACCAAAAACTGTTGAGGAGACACTGCTCTGGGAAAGATCCCCGGTGTTCTCCTTACTTACTGCAAGTGGTAAGCTCTCCCACTCTATGGCTTGGTGTGTCTTCTGGCTCAACAATCACCAAGAGGTGAACCCAGTTTCCGGGCAACACCTCTAATAGGGCAAATGAGGGGAACTTCAGTGCTATTTAAATTATATTTTGGGAAGTGTGAAAATCTAAAGTAACTGTTTAAATAAGAATATATACAAAATAAATCTAAAATTATTATTTTTAAAAACTTTAAATTTCTTAAAAAAGCACAAGAAATAATGCTTTATAGTGTTTATAGACATAGACTTATGTGTGAAAACATGGGCAGGAAGGATATACACCAACTTGAGGAACACAATTATCTCTGGGGAGGAAAGAAGAAAGGGGAATGGGATTAGGGAGGAGTCCAAAGAGAACATCAACTGTATCTACGCTTTGTTCAGGTCTCCCAAAAAATAAATGAAAACAAATATGGCAAAATCTTAACATGTGTTAATCTGGACACTGGATATCTGGACACAAGGATACCATTTGCTCACTTTTTCCCCACATATTTGACAATATTTCTCAAGTTTTCTGGTTGTAGTTCCTATACTTATTAGGAAGGGAAAAGCTGGAGAAAACCAACAGGCCACACCGAGACCTCTGCCTGAAATAAAATAACTAAAATAGCAGAGGATACCTTACATAATACATAAGCACCTATAATTCACTTGGTATTCAATTTATTTAACATGAGAATCCTAAAAAAGGGTAATAAGAGAGTCTGCCTGCAGTAGATGTGTTTGCATTCCTTCCCAAATTTAGTAAAGTAATAATTAGACTTTAAGAGGAAAATCCATTTTCATATTATCCAAGGGTATACAGGGTTCATTCCATTCTCATGTATGGGTCTAGACAGAAACTGTGATTCAAGATGGACGTGCAACACTTGGCTCTTGTTTTATGGATTTTTGGTATTAAAAGGGGGAATAGAAACTTAGAACAAAAATATTTTTTCAGTGGAAATAAATATCGGATGTTAGGTTAAAATCAATGGTAAATTATATTTTATAAAAGTTTTCTAAATTACTTTCCAGGTTAAATATTACTTCATTAAGAAAAGAGTAGTGCTATGGACTTTACACAAATGCAAACATAAACCCACTAATTGCTTTTAAAACACCACAACACAATATATCCACACAATGAAATACTAAACAGCACTAAAAAAGAATAAATAGAGCTACATGAATCCACGGGAATGAATCTCATAATGATAAAGATGAATAGAAAAAGAAAACTACAGAAGAATTCATACAGTACATATTATTTATATAAAATTCTTTATTTTTTTTGCTGCACTACACAGCTTGTGTGATCTTAGTTCCCCAACCAGGGACTGAACCCCAGGCCCTCAGCAGTGAAAGCACAAAGTCCTAACTACTGCACAGACAGGGAATCCCCTAAACTTTTTAAATACGTAAAACAATATGACATTGTTGGAGGATGTATACGTATTTATTAAAAGTCTAAGAAATGCATGGGGAAAATAAATGCCAAATTGAGGATAGTGCTTATTTCAGGGAAGGGAGTAAGCTAATTGGATAGGACAGAAGTTCAACTTATATTGGCAATGATCCACTTCTCATGGATGGTACATGCTGGATGATACATGAGTATTTGTTACCTTATTCTTTATATTTTTTTGTATATCTGAAATTTCTTTTTTTGTTTTCATTTAAAAAGCCACCACAGACAAATAACCCAAAGAAAGAATGGTTAAAGGATCTAAATAGACATTTTTCCAAAGGAGGTACATAAATGACCAATAAGCACATGAAAAGATGCTCAACATCAAATGCAAATCAAAACTACAATGAGATGCCACTCCACATCCACTGAGATGGCTCTAATAAAAAAGACAAATAGGGCTCCCTTGGTGGTGCAGTGGTTGAGAGTCCGCCTGCCGATGCAGGGGACACGGGTTCGTGCCCCGGTCCGGGAAGATCCCACATGCCGCGGAGCGGCTGGGCCCATGAGCCATGGCCTCTGAACCTGCGCATCCGGAGCCTGTGCTCCGCAATGGGAGAGGCCATGACAGTGAGAGGCCCGCGTACCGCAAAAAAAAAAAAAAAAAAAGACAAATAATAATGAGTGTTGGCGAGGATGTGGAGAAATTGTAACTCTCATACAATGTTTATGAGAACGTAAAATGGTGCGGTTGCTTTGGGAAACAGTCTGGCAATTCCTCAAAAGGTTATGGCCAAGCAATTTCATCCATGCCTAGGTATATACACCAGAGTAATGCCCACACAAAAGCTACACAAATGTTCAAAGTAACACTATTCGTAATATCTAAAAAGGGGAAACAATCCTTAAGTCCATCAACTGATGGTGGATAAACAAAATGTGGCATATCCACACAAGGGAATACTCCTCAGCCATTAAAAGAAAAAAATGAAGCACTGATTCATGCTACAACATGGATGAACCTTGAAAACATCTATGCAAAATGAAAGAAGCTAGACACAAAGGGCTTACAATATAATTATATCATACAATTCCATTCATATGAAATGTCCATAACAGGTAAATCCATAAACACAGAAAATAAATTAGTGGTTGATTGCTAGGGGATAAAGGAATGGGGGAATAGAAGAGTGACTGCTAATTGGTACAGGTTTTCTTTCTGGCGTGACGACAATGTCCTGGAATTAGACAGTGGTTATGGTTGCATAGCTGTGAATATAATAAAGAAACACTGAATTGTACACTTTAAGAGGGTGAATTTTATGGTATGTGAATTATATTTCAACTGTTAAAGAAAGTTACCACACCCCCAAAATGCCATTTATGTGGAGGTAAGGGCACATTTGCAAAATTAAGCCCTAGAGAGCCAAGGAATATAATTTACTTAATATTGATATATGCACATTTAAAATATCCTGCAGAAACAAGTCAGAAGTGACACTGAGACAAGTTTAACTTTCTAAAAACTTAATCCAATTACCTATGTACATGAGAGAGGTCAGTGGATACCGCAAGCCAAGTGCATCTTCTGTAAAGGAATCAACAAAGTCCTCCAGCATATGAAGCCCAAAGTCTTTGCCTCTATATTTCTTTCTTACGAACATGGTATCAAGAACTGGCAGTTGGTAGCTTTGGGTAAGAAACGAGGCACATATGCTTCCTGCAGTCATAAAACAGAAATCCAACAATTTTTCACATTTAAAAGGCCACATATGTATATACATTTAGAGAACATGAGTTAAATCTAAAATTGGTTAGTTTTTCTTACATCAAGAAAAATGTTAAAGACACACTTAAGTTTTATAATATAAAATGCTTTCCAGCTATTACGTATCATAATGTATACGAGATGATGAGAAGAGCTATTTATTTTACGTTTGCCAACAATATCTCATACAAGATAAAACAACTATTACCATTTGATGAACTATATACTAGAATACATATCACTGTCCATAGACTTGCACAGCTTTAAAATTCATCAACTATTAAAATTTCAAATTTAAAGAGTATTTGGTGATTGTATATAGTTTATATTATAATACATGAAGTATCTAATTCCAACCTTAGTAATGTGAAATATTCATCTTTTCCCTTTACTTTTTGCCTAGTGATTACAGTCTCATTTGTTATCTATTTAATGATGGCAAAGAAGTGAATTAGTTCTCCAAATTTTTTTTTTTGCGGTACGCGGGCCTCTCCCGTTGCGGAGCACAGGCTCCGGACGCGCAGGCTCAGCGGCCATGGCTCACGGGCCCAGCCGCTCCGCGGCATGTGGGATCTTCCCGGACCGGGGCACGAACCCGTGTCCCCTGCATCGGCAGGCGGACTCCCAACAACTGCGCCACCAGGGAAGCCCAGTTCTCCAAATTTTTAAGGACTATGGATTAGGACTAAATGGAAACATCTGTTTTAGAAATGGCTAAGTCAGCAATCTTTCTGCTGTGCATATATGTTTTAAAATATCTTGTACGTTTAAGGTTTAACAGGAGAAATGTTTGTAGTAGTAATTAAATATGTCTCTCCTTGTTACATTACAGAGCTATTCTGATTTGTCTTTTAAGAACCCTGATTTGGGTTTTGACCCTCCAAATAGATGTGTAAGCGCCTGTAATGTATCTTAAGATAGTTTGTAAGTTGAGGGCATCATGGTGGGGCGGCCCACTTTCTATTAATTTTAGTATTAATTCATAGTTAGCTATCAGTCAACATTCTACTTTTTTGTGCCTCAAGTAAAACAATCTATTATTCTCAGTTACATTATTCACATGATTTTGGATAATTATAATAACGTAGTTCAAGAAAGAAACAAAATTTCAGGTAACAAACACCTCACAAATTAACTTTTACCAATCATATCATTTGATGAGTTGGTCAATATAACAAGGATTTTTTTAGTTCAACCAAATAATGAATTACTTATGATTAAATTGGAGAACTTCAATAACTTTTTGCAATGGACTCTAAGACTATCAACTAACTTAAATTCAGAATAGTTAATGCACATTGCTACGTACTTAGATCTTAACTGCTGACATTCAGTTCGGATACTGCTAAGGGTCAAAATGTCTTATATAGTGATTTAGTTAACAATATTGTATTATATACTTTCAATTTACTAAAAAGGTAGATCTTAAGCGTTAGCACCTCAAGAAAAAAAAAAGAAAGAAAATGGTAACCATATGAGGCAATAAATATATTAATTATCTTGATTTTGGTGAATATTTCACAACGTACATAAGATTATCAAGTTATACCCATTAAACATATACAACTTCAAATTATCAATTATATTCAATAAAGCCAAAATAAATAAATAAATTTTTAAAGAATCTAACAGGTAGTCTCACCAGCAAGGCTACTGTGACCATTATCAGTTTTTAATGCCTTAAAATCAGGGTTTTCTCATAGTAACTGCCAGAAGTGATAATGAAATCAAAGGAGACATTACTTTAGAAGTAGCAGTAATTCAAAGGACAAAGCAAAAATGAGAAGAGAAAGCACTATTTAGTTCTCAATACCATCTGAGGATCTGTTGCTATTTACTATTATGCGTGCCTCAGAATACCAACTATATGAAGTAAATTTCCCACAAATTATTTTTTTTTTCTGTTTTCACACAAACATTCCTTTAAGTAGAGAAAAGGTAAAGTCCAGCATCTAACAGTGTTCAAATGATCCATTTATGGAACTAATAGTGTTCACAAAGTGTAAAGTTCTACCATTTACTCACCATGTACATATTCATTTCAAAAAATCATGCTAATTCTCTTTTGCCTACACCTTCAATACTTATTTTTGTATTTGTATCAGGTTCTACCCTGATACAAAAAGCAATCAAATAAAGGGCAGAAAACCTCTGCCCTGTTACCAGAGATTCTTCAGACACATCAAACAGCTGCAGTTAATAGCACAATTACTTAGTAAAGTAAAAACCACAACCTCCTAACTTAGATGAAGTTTTCATTAAAATAAATCTACTAATTGAAATAAAATTAAATTTAGCATTGCATATGGCAGCTTGAATATTTATATTCCTCAGAGGACTACCTTTGGCCACCTTCTTTTTCTACATGCTCTCTCTGGGTAATCTCACCTACTCTAAAGCCATCTACCATTTATCCAAATGCTCATGACCACTAAACTTTTATTTCTGTAATACATGAGACTTACTACAAGATGAATGGAAGAGCTCATATAAATGTAAATACAACAAAAAACACATGATCATCTCCAAAGACAAAGCAAAATTCAGTACATTCATGATAAAAATACTCAACATCCTCAACCTGACAAGGGGTCTATGAACAACCCACAGCTAACAAACATCACACTTAATGGTGAAAGTCTGGATGTTTCTCCCTAAGATCAGGAACAAGATAAAAATGTTTATCCTCGCCACTTCTACTCAACATGGTAAGGAGGTTCTAGCCAGGGCAATTAGGCAAGAAAGGGAAATTAAAGGCACCCAGATTGGAAAGAAAGAAGTAAAACCACATTCACAGATGACATGATCTTGTATACAGACCTTAAGATTTTCATCTTAAGAAAACCACTAAAAAAGTATTATTTTTTAAAAAATGTTTATTTATTTGGCTGCACTGGGTCTTAGTTGTGGCATGTGGGATCTTTGTTGCCAAGTGCAGGATCTTTTAGTTGAGGCATACAGGATATAGTTCCCTGACCAGGGATCAAACCTAGGCCCACTGCATTGGGAGCACAAAGTCTTAACTACTGGATCACCAGCGAAGTCCCAGAAATCCACTAAAAAATTATCAAAACTGATTTTTTTACAAGTTCGGCAAGGTTACAGGATATAAGATCAATATACAAAAATCAGTTGGGGACCTCCCTGGCAGTCCAGTGGTTAAGACCCCAGGCTTCCACTGCAGGGGGCACAGGTTCAATCCCTGGTCAGGGAACTAGGAACCCACATGCCACGCAGGACAGCCAAAAAAGAAAAATCAATTGTATTTCTATACACCAGCAATGAACAATCTGAAAATGAAATTAAGAAAACAATTCCACTTACAATAGCATCAACAAATAATAAAATTCTTAGGAATAAACTTAACAAAAGTACAAAACTTGTATACTGAAAACTACAAACATTTAAAAGAAATTAAAGAACACTTAAATAGGGCTTCCCTGGTGGCACAGTGGTTAAGAATCCACCTGCCAATTCAAGGGACACGGGTTCAAGCCCTGGTCCGGAAAGATCCCACATGCCGCAGAGCAACTAAGCCCATGCGCCACAACTACTGAAGCCTGTGCTCTAGAGCCTGTGCACCACAACTACTGAAGCCCATGTGCCTAGAGCCCGTGCTCCGACAACAAGAGAAGCCACCACAATGAGAAGCCCACGCACTGCAAGGAAGAGTAGCCCCCACTCACCACAACTAGAGAAACCTCAGGCACAGCAACAAAGACCCAATGCAACCAAAAACAAATAAAATTAAAAAAAAAAAAGAACACTTAAATAAATGGAAAGACATCCCATGTTCATGGTTCAGAAGACAACACTGTAAGATGTCAATACTCCCCAAACGGACCTACAGGTTCAAAATCTCAGCTGGATTTTTTGCAGAAATTGACAAAGTAATCCTAAAAATCATATGGAAACGCAAAAAAAACACAAACAGCCAAAACAATCTTAACAAAGAACAAAGTTGGAAGACTCACACTTCCCATTTTAAAACTTACAAAGCTACATACAGTAATCAAGCCAGTGTGATATTGGCACAAGAATAAACAGAGACCAACAGAATAGAAGTTCCAGAAGCAAAACCTCTTATTTATGGTCAACTGATTTTCAACAGGAGTCCCAAGGCATTTCTATGGGAACAGAATAGTCTTTTTAAATGAATGGTGCTGGGACAACTGGATATCCCTATATGCAAAAAAAGATGTTGGACCCCTCCCCCTTTCCTCAGACCATATACAAAAATTAACTGCAAATGGATCATAAACATAACTTTAAGTGCTAAAACTATAAAATCTTCGAAGAAAACACAGAAGTAAATCTTCATCACCTTGGGGTAGGAAAAGCCTTCTTAGCTACAACACCAAAAGCGCTACACCACCAAAAGCAAAAGTGACACGTAAAAAGAAGATAATTGGATTTTATCAAAACTAGTGCTTCAAAGGATACCATCAAGAAAGTAAAAAGACAACCCAAAAAATGAGAGAAAATACTTTCAAATTATATATCTGATAAGGGACTTGTATCTAGAATGTATGAAAAATGCTTACAACTCAATAATAAAAACACAAAACCCAATTTAAAAATGGGTTGAAGGGCTTCCCTGGTGGTGCAGTGGTTGAGAGTCCGCCTGCCGATGCAGGGGACACAGGTTTGGGCCCCGGTCTGGGAAGATCCCACATGCTGCGGAGCGGCTGGGCCCGTGAGCCATGGCCGCTGAGCCTGCGCATCCGGAGCCTGTGCTCTGCAACAGGAGAGGCCACAACAGTGAGAGGCCCGCGTACCGCAAAAAAAAAAAAAAAAAAAAATGGGTTAAGGATTTAATAGACATTTCTCCAAAGACATACAAATGGCCAACAGGTATATAAAAAATGTTCAATGTCACTAATCATCAGGGAAATGGCAAATCAAATGAGGTATCACCTCATACCTGTCAGGATTGCTATTATCAAAAAAAC